AAAGATAGCGTAATTAGTAAAAGTACCAACACTCCAGCCGTCGACAGTGTGGCCGAGCGGTCTAAGGCGCTGGTTTTAGGCACCAGTCCGAAAGGGCGTGGGTTCGAATCCCACCACTGTCAATGTTTTTGTTTCGTCTTGTTATATCAAAAATGGACCCAAAAACAATCACCAATGTTACTGGCTTCTAAACTAAATACACTTTCTTTCGCTCAGCTACCAAGAACGACAGCATATTTGGTATGGCCTTTTCCAATGGAATAGGCCCTTTACGAATTTCTACCAATACCTTTTCACTATCCATGACAACCACCTGCCACCCTAATTCCTTTCCTGTAAATGCAATATAGAATTTACAGCTAGAAGCGTTTAGCCAGTGCCTATGTCAGGATTATGGTCTAACACTCTTGCTACGTGAAATTCATACTACTTGTATTATATACTACAAGTACTACAATTACTACTCGGGTAATATTACTCGAGTGGTGCTGCAGCTGACATCTCTAGTGTCGTCAGTCGTGAGTGTCTGCCACAGTCCTTTTCCGAGTACCTTTGCCTCCCTCAGGACAGCTGGCCTACGTTTTAGTCGGAATAATAAGTGGATGGATCTTCAGGGTCAGTGATTTCCATTATCAATCCAGCCCTCGATGTGGACGCGGTGTTCGAGAACCTTACAATCACACAGTCCCCATGGGGAAGAAGTGGACGTAGCAACAGGATAAGCCATTATTTCGTCAGTATTTAACCAAATGTCTCCTGTGTGTCTGTAGATATATATATATATGCCAATAGACGACGGCGATAATCTCAGACTGTCGTTTGCCGTCCATGTGATCGCTCGGCGATCCTACCCTGCTAGCACCAGCCCCGTCTGGCCCCGCCTAGCTCCCGGGGCCAGACGGGGCTGGGCCCCGTTTGGGCGGGGCTATGACGAGGCTATGACGGGGCTAGGGACGCGATAGCCCCGTCTGGCCCCGGGGGCTAGGCGGGGCCCAGCCCCGTCTGGCCCCGTCCTCGAAAAAAACGCTCAGGGGGACGCCACGCTCTCCGTGATATTAACCCCCCATTTACGTTACCAGTATTATCCCTTTCCTAGTTTTACGCACAGCACGATTAACTATTCTACTTCTACAACGGATCCGTTGTCCCTCATTTTAAGTTTTACTTTGTCGTATTGCATAATGCTTAGGAGACGTTGGAATCCTATGTATCCGACAGTGACTCGCTTAAGCGTATCAATTGACACGCTGCCTGCACACAGGCCAGCTCGCCACCAAGGTAGTGCGGCATATCAATAATTAATCATAGACTTAGCCAATCAAACGGTGCGAACGGCACTTACAGCTATGATGAGGGCGCTGTGCCACCAACGGAAAGCCACTTGTCTTATGCGCAGGCAGTTAACCAGGCTCATAAAAAGTAATCTAAAGTTGCATGAGCGCTTACACGCCATGTGTTTGCTGGCATCCAAGCAGCCGTCCTCATCTATGGACTCGACGGTCGAACTGCCCACTACTCTGGTTACGTAACCCATTGACACGAGAAAAAACTTTCATGAGGTCAGGCGATGTCTACAAAACCCTACATATCGCAGTAAACAGATTATTCTTAAACAGTTCTTGTGAAGCATTTCTAGATTGCTTTTTGGCCTGCCTTCGAGGCCGAAACACCGACGTCTTCGCCAAAAGAGCATTTTATGCTCTCTTTGGTGATGAAATAATAAATAACATTAATTTCAAGGGAAAGAAGTCGAAAGACGGCCTATGGAGTTCATAGGTATATGGTGTTATTAAAGCTGAGGTACGTGCTATGGTTACAGTCAATTGCAAAACAGACATCTACGTGATGTGGAACAAAATTGGCCGAGTGGATGTTTACGAAGCAGAGGCCGTCCTTACTAGGCGCCTGAAAAGATCTCTAGATGCCCTACGGACGCGGCGAAGTGGGCAAGACGCCATTTAAGATAAGACTGACGGTTGACCATATTGTTGTTTAAATATACGTCCATCATTTAGAACCACCGACAGATCAATGCATGTGAATGTGGCGAATGAGAAATGAATCGAAATTTGCGGTACTCATTCTTTTAAATATAGAAAAATCAGGAAAGTGCTCTGACTTCGGCTTCACTTTACTTTGATGGGCGCGCTGTTTATAAAAAAAACACGTTTAGGGGGTTCCTTCGAAAACGCGGGACGGTATGGCAGTAACGGGTGTGCGTAATTAGTGTATACATCATTAAGTCAGGCAAGTGTAACGTTGCCATCATGCAGCGCCCTATTGCAACCTCCAGTTGTTATTTCGTTAGCGACTAAATGCACAAAATCCGCTATAAATCGGTCAAACTTATCACGATTTTTACACAGCGAGTCGCTATCGCCTTGGATAATTTGTAGAATTGACATCACTTGATTATTCCATAGTTTCGTTAAAGTCCTTCGGACGTTTTTGAGGCCACGCTTGAAGTTCGCTATTCAAGCGTGGAAACTCTGGACTGCTTATGGCCCCAGCATCCTCAAAGAAGTTCAAATGTATGCAACCAAACTCGTTAGTGGACAGGGCCCATTACGACATGAAACATGACTATCTAACCTCCATCTCTTTTCTCTGAATTCCAGATAGTTAGAGTCGACCTGACACATAACACTGCCTTTCATGCGTGGTCAAGACAGATGTCTTGTACCCGAAGATCTCTTCGACATAGCAACCACAACGAACCCACAGTCTCCCAGTCACGCTACGTCTAAATGGCGTCAAACTTGACACGCGAATCTTTTTCATCCCCAACAGGATTGTTGAAGCTAATAATGCTCTGCCGGTTGATATCGTTACTTCCGCATCCATCGAGGATTATAAGCGGAAGCTGGACGAATATGCCATAGCAGACCATAGTGTTATCCGACCGATATCGTTTTGATGCTCCACGGCAGCAATTTAGTACTGTGGTGATATTACGGTTTCTATTTCAACACCATTGGTTTTTTGATTTCGTTGTAGTCCCAGACTCATAACACGCACATACTGACGTTCATTTTGCATAGACTGATTACTGTAAAACGTACTTGGAAGTGCCAATGCCTCTACCAGATGGAATAATTTGTTTCTCTGTAGAGTTTCGGTAATTCTTCTGTAGCTGTTTGCTGTTTCTGTCTCTAAATCTTTGGCATACTTTCCTTCCTTGTAGCAAATAGGGAGTTTTTATATGCAACACCTACATTTCCTACAAGTGAACCGAAGTCCACTGATCCACTCAAAAAGGACTCCGATAGCTCATTTAAGGACTCAAAAGAGGTTCTAGGTAAAATGAAAGGCGTCCATCGCACCAGCGTCGGTCGTTCGTAAGCTGTCTGTGTAAAGTAACACCCATCAAGGCGCACAGTCGTAGACGACGGAATCATAAAAGGCTCAGTGCTCGTACCGAACCTCTTTCTATTGTTCATTAATGATTGTGTACAGGAATGAGACCATGATGGTGTCATGTTTAGGAATCATCTAAAAATCTGCAAAGTCGTTCACGATGCTGCTGACAACATTTTCCTCTGAGTGCGCGCTCAGCTGTCCAAGTCGTCTTCAGTCCAAACCGTGCACAGACCCTGGAGTAGCTGTGTATTAATTGCCAAGCTCACCGGCGTGGCGGCAGCGTAACGCCAGTCGATAAATCCACCTTCACTGATGAGCTGCGGTTGGGCACATTTCAGGCGCTTGCTCACACTTAGCGCTGTCAGGAGGCTAGTTAAAAATGAATTTCTGGAAGAGGGAAGGGTTGATGTCAGTGACCAATGCACTTCACTTAGGCCTCCTGACACAGTTCGAACTCTCTTCCTGCCTGTTCATTTACTAAATTCGTTAATGTTGGCTATTTTACCCCGAAAAACCCACTTCACACCTTCAGTTCAGTTCAGTACCGTTCAGTTTATTGAGGGAATTGTAGGTCTTCACCTCTGAACTCCCTATTTGTTTACAAGCAACTGCAAAATCTCAAAAACTCGAAAAGGTATCATAAAGGAACAAATAGTCCGAAAAGCGTCAGGTCTGTACAGACAAATAAACTGTCTCGAATTTTATTGGTACGAGCAGTTGTAGAGCTGTCGTTTCGAGTGCAGCGAAATAAATAATATATCTGGTGACAAAATTTGCATATGTGCATGTCTGTAAGCGTAGGCGATGAGTTGGTGCAATAATACATTCAATTTAAAATGTTACTGAAATATAGCAAGTAGTATTATAATAACGGAATTTGTCGAGGTTACAGAGATCGGGGTGGTAATTTAGTGGACACTGCTACACAAATCCAGCTTCCTCTTAAAGACCTCGACGGAAGCAGATATAACGACATCCACAGGCAGGACATTCCAGGCTTCTAGCACTCTGTTGGAGAAGAAGAACTTTCGTGTGTCCAGTCTGGCCCCTGTCACACGTAGTTTTAATGGATGGCCTCGTAGATTTGTGGTGGTTGCTAACTCGAAGAAGTCCCCCGGTACGAGGCTGCAGTCCTGACCGCGTATGATACGGAAGGCTTGTATCAGGTCCCCCCGTAACTGCCTGTAACTCAAGGGAAAGAGATCAAGGTTAGCTAACCGCGTTACATATGGTAGTGAACACTGTCCTGCCACAAGTTTCGTTGCACGCCTTTGAACCCTTTCAAGGATGCTGAGGTCCTTCGCGGTCCAGGGTCTCCAAGCTTGGATAGCAAATTCTAGTTGCGGACGCACAAAAGTTCGAAAGACTTTAGCGAAGCAGTCTTCATCAAAGGCAGAGAAAACCCGCTTGACAAGGTAGAGGACTGACATCGCAGACTTGGCTATCTTCGTGCAGTGGAGCGAGGGTTTGAGCGAGGTCGTAATTCATACTCCCAAGTCCTTCTGCGAGTCCACTTCTTGCAGTGGTATACCGTTTAGGCAGTAGGCCATATGGTTCGGAGAGCGAGCTCTGCCGACTCATAGAATATTGCACTTTTTCTCGTTGAACGGCAGAAGCCAGGCCTTTGACCACTGTTGGAGTCAGTTTAGGTTCGCCTGCAGATGCTCTTCGTCATCTGCAGTTCGAATGACGCTCCAGAGCTTTATGTCATCCGCAAACATGGCGACACCACAATCCAGTTCACTCACGCAATCGTTGACGTAAATGATGAACAAAGTAGGACCAAGAACTGAGTCTTGGGGAACACCGCTTTCAACGGCAACCTCCGTCGACTTCTGGCAACCGACATGGACAGTTTGACAACGGTCTAATAGGAAGCTTTGAATCCATTTTAAGAGGTTACCCCTAACGCCTGTTCGGCTCAGTTTGTGCAGGAGTCGCTGATGTGGGACACTATCAAATGACTTTTTAAAGTCGATATAGACTACATGCAGCGCATTGCCTTCATCAACTGACCGAGTCCAACGTTCCAAACAGTTGAGCAAGTTAGTCACGCAAGGCCTGCCACTACGAAACCCATGCTGCGCATCAGATAATAAATTATGCTGCTCTAGGAAGCGCATTAGCTCTCGCTTGATTATTTTCTCCATGAGTTTGCAGCAGATGGAGGTGAGGCTAATTGGCCTATAATTATTTGCAGAGGCCTTGCTGCCTCCTTTATGCAGTGGTGTGATCCGCGCAGATTTCCAGTCGGCGGGCAAGCAGCCGGCTTCGAAAGAGGCTTGGAAAATCATGGACAATGGTTTGGCTAGTTCGGCAGCGAGCTCCTTCAGTAACTTAGGCGGTATGTCGTCTGGACCTGGTGATTTCGACTCATTTAGCGTCATTAGCTCTTTGCGAACCGTCGCTTCATCAAAAGATACAGACTCAATTTTTGGACCCTCATCGAAGTCGTAGTCGGGAGGAGTAAATGGACTTTCAGTAGTAAAGATGGATTTGAAAAATTGTGAAAAGTGCTCAGCTTTTTCTCCATCCTCACTAATCTCTACGTCTCCGCTTGTCTTCAGGAGGGGGATTGGATCTCTGTTTCGTGTGCTGCTTCTTATGTAGCTGTAGAATAATTTTGGATTTTCCATAGCACGATTCAATAGGTCTTTTTCAAAATTTTGCCGTGTCCCGATGGTCAGTCGCTTGACTAAGTTCCTCTGTATTTTGTATGCGTTTATGGATACAGGAGTCCCATCAGTAAGAGATTTCTGCCACAATCTCCGTTTTTTATTTATTTCCTTTTTTAACGCCTGGGTCATCCACCGGTGTCGATTGTTTAGCCACTTCCGTGAAAGCGGGCAGTGGTTTGTCAGGAGAACATTCAATAATTCACTGAACCATTTCCAATCCTCCTCTGTATTTCCGGAAAACGCTGATTCTCTGTCCGTATTGTTGATTTCGGCCTTCACTTGATCGAAGCCCCCACGCCAAATATTTCTTCTAATTTTGGTGGGCTGTTCAGGCACGAAAAAGATTGAATAGTCCCACTGAAGTACAACGTGATCGCTTCGACCTAAGGGAGGCAGACATTGTACCTCATCTATGCTGTCCATCGATTTCGTGAGCACCAGGTCCAAGCAGTTTGGCTGCTGCCCCTCACGGGCCCTCGTGGGAAATAGGACGTGCTGTGTGAGAAATGACCTGAGTGCCATGTCCAAGAAGCGTCGGTCGAAAGCTAGTTCTGGGCCGCGCGCGTATAGTGAACTCCAATCAATGAGCGGTGCATTGAAGTCGCCCATGATTAGGACGTCAGGCCGGAGGGCAAATCGTCCTAGCTCCTCTAACAGACGAGCGTCAGCTTCGGGGTCACTCCTCGGTGGTCGATAGACGGTCAGAACTTCAAGGCTATGTGATCCTGGTACCCTTATAGTGAGCCAGATAGTCTCTGCGCTGCAGGCAAACTGTTCTGTTCTTTCTGACACAAGCAGGCCGTGTTTTACGTAAGTGCCGACTCCTCCTCCCTGACGCTCTCTCCTGTCTCTTCGAAACAACTGAAATCCTGGTAGCATTAATTCGCTGTCATCCACGTTTTCAGACAGCCAGGTTTCTGTCAAAGAGACAATGTCAGGGGAAAGGTCACAGATGTGGATCTTCAGTTCGTCTAACTTGGGCAATATACTCTGCACGTTGGTGTAAAAAAATGTTAGTTTCAGAGTTTTGGGGCGTTTGATTATGGTGCCGCTTGTGATCCCATTTAAGGAAGCTACTGTGCCCTCATCCGGATCGGTTCGGTCCAATGGATTAGGGGAGGGCGCTGCACTATCTGGTTGTTGTAGATCACAAGATCCGTCTCGCCATTCTGCAACCTTGTTCTCAGTTCCAGAACTAATTGTCGGCGTTTTATTCTCTCTGCCGTTGTGTAGTCCGGCTGAAAAAAACGCCGCGGTTGGTCTCTTTGATTCGGAATCGTCGTAAGAGAATAAGTCCTACATGTTCTTGGTTGGCTAACACAATCTTGAGTGGTCGGGGACGTGAGTGCTCTGATATGTCGATTGAGCGCTTTCCAAGCCTAAAGGCCTTGAGAACCGAAACTTCCTCATTGGGGCACAGAAGTTCGTTGAGTAGGCATTGAAAGAGTTGCAGGTCTGCCGAGACCCGCTCTTTGGAGGCACTAGCTGTGGATTCGGGAAGTCCCTGAATAATCAGACATTGTCCTCTGACCGGCGACACTCTCGAGAACACAGTGGTTTCGTGCTCCGACATAGGCAATATGTGGTTGCCATGATCTGAAGAGGATATAAGTTGCAGTCGATTAAGATCCTCATTCGTCTCTGTTTTGTTTGCATTTTCATCAATTTCGGAAGTTTTTTGCGATAGGTTGAGGGTTTTAGGACCCATGTCATTTCCCGTGATGGGCGACACGGACGCCGACGTCCCTGGTTCCGGTTCTTCGGAGACATTCCTTGGGGTCTGCTGTTCATGTCCTTCGACCTTTTTGCTGCACGATTTCTTTTTTTCCTGTGCTTTTTATCGTTGCTTCGCTGGTTGTTGTCGTCTTGTATTTTATGTGTTTGTGCTGGGTGTGCCGTGACATCTGCAGAAGGTGTTGATGGCGTATTTTTTGTTCGACGTCCTTTGGCCCTACTTCTAGTTATTCGTCCAACAGGTAAATTCGCATCGTCAAGTGTGTCTAGTTTACATTGTAGAAGAGTTTTCATCTTTTCCATCTCTTCCTCAAGGCGGTTGATTTTGCCGGCCAATATCTCACATCCACTGCAAAATCGATCGGTATGCAGCACGCATTTACTATCAAGTAAACTTTGCGACATCGCTCGCCGTCGTGCCGCGGTGGCCGAGGGGTTAGCGTGCGCGACTGAAATTTCGGTGGTCGGTGGTTCGATTCCGTCATGCACGCAACCTCTCGGGCGACTACCATCACATCCGTAAAATACGTATGTTTCGAGATACCTGAAGCCGGTAGCTCCGTCCACTTTATCCTCGACCAACTAGTCCTCGATTTTCACACTGCTAACGTCGAATAATTGCTCGTTGAGGTCTGGAAAACCTAATTATTTGGGATCCTAATGCTTTTTTGTTCGCTGAATCACTTTATGCGTGACCGGTGTTGACAAAACCTTCAACGCCAAAATCCCAGGTTCTTTAAAGCTAAATATTTCAAATGCGTCCGCGCGTTTTTATACAAACTAGTCTTTATCCTGTTCCTACTCGGAGTTTTGCCAACTGTTACGAAAGTAATCATCCTTTTCGTATACCTTCTTACAATTTAAGTAACTATTTAGCTATATCCATTAGCTCGTAGGTCAGCTCCATCGCACATCCCAGTTATCATAAATGTTCCAAGCCACTCCAGTAGGTAAACTTTGTTGTCATAGTTGATGCTGCGTTGGTAAAACTATTGTTATTGATACCAAATACCATTAGTCAGTGGGATATCCCGAGCATACCGGCCAGCGTTGTGTATTGAGATGGTGCCAGACATAAGATTTCCGTGAACTCATATTAAGTATTATGTGGGAACTAGGGACATTCATCCACCAACGAAAGCAGTTCAGTGACCCAGCTGAACTTGCTTCTAGGTTCTACTAGAGATATAAAGATGTTTCTACGAAGGGAGCAAGTCCTGGATCAAACATTTTTGACAAAGATCGACTAGTTGCTGATGAATTCGCCCTGAAATGAGAAAGGAGGTCTGAACCCTGATAAGAATAAACAAGATCAGGAACAAGAATAGACCGGATGATTGACTCAAGGCTTCATAGAAATAATACTGATACGTGCTTAACCATGCTCAGGAAATACAGTGGCAACAACACAGAAAAAGATACATTTGCAAACACACCCTGAAATAGGCCCAGATGTTTCATAGTGACGAAAAAAGGCGTGAGTGCTCTTCGATTTCCAGGAATGTTTACGAGATGAAATCATCGAACCTTAACTAGGAGAAACTAGAGGGCATCTACGTGCTTAGGCATAAATGAGGTCTGAGAATCTGATCCTACTGACCTAGCACCCCCCTCCCCACTTCTTCGTCTGGGTCCAACTCACCTAAGTACACAGTATAGTTAACATCCGTCTGAAAAGAACCACCGTACCAGGCGACTTAGCCATCATCGCGCAAGTTTGTGCGCGTTGTCCTTCTCGTGAAAGAACAATTAACCTAAATTCTTGTGTTGTAGATTTTTGCCAATGCTATATATAAACTGCTGTCAAAATAAACTCATTATTTGTGCTACTCACTCCCTGTACTGAGTAACTGATCTCGGTGGTTGTCTGTAAACCATCTCTCAGTCACTCCCACCAGAAGAGCATGCGAAATTAAGGCGAATGTCGAGTGTCGCAGTCCATGTGGCTCATTTGATGGGCATGGGCTTAAAAAACGCCAGTCCACATGATCATTTAAAAAGAAGATGAGGTCTGGCGCATCTCATCATTACAACAAAACACGCACAGGTTCTCTTCCAAGACCTTTGGCACATGTGGCCATAGACTGCTTGCATGGAGTCTAGATGGATACGATCTGCCTGCCAACGCATCCAATCGAGTTATATGTTTTCTGGGCGACGGCGTCTGTGCGCACAGGCTCTATAATGTAAGTTGTCTACGACTTCCGCACAAAGCACTGTTTTCCAGGTGTCTGTGTTTGGTACGTTTCTCCCCTTCATCCGTCCATATGCCCGATAGGAGGCACTTTCCAAATGATACCCTGTGTTTGCAGCTAACAGTTAAGCTTCCGACCAGTCATGCTAGCAAGTGTTTTTTAAGGATGGCCTTCCGCGGGTTTTCTATCTGCAAATACGCAAAAATCCACGCCCTTCGTAGGTAAGCCATTGTTGATCAGTGGCATGACTACACATTCAGTGGAAGCAAAATCAGGAATTCCATGAACCGAGTCAACCGCCGGCCTGGTAAGCAACACTTTCTTCAACACAGTGTCAGCAAAAAAACTTCAAATTCTCGTTAAGAGGCAAACCCGCTTACGCCAGTTCATCAAGTAAAAATTCGGATGATAGTCACGATGATAATTCAACCACGTTACCGACGTAAAGCTTTTCTGGAAACACTCAGGACAAGACAAGAAAATGTGCCCACTGCGTTCGTAATGTTTGCTCGAAGGGAACTGTATAACACCGCAAGTTTACAACGTAGAGGGGACGAGAGCGCGCATCCCTTGCAACAGATAGGGTGAGAGATTTCGAGCATGAGCTGCATGCCTAACACGATCTAAGAAGCCCTCCTGCAACTACTCAAGTTGTAAACAAGTACGCGTGATTGAAAAATTAGTCTTGGCGGCATGCAGTCAGGTTGTCCGGCCCTCATCTGCCGGCTAGCCCAGGAGTGCCTTGCGAATTTCAAGAGGTCAAGTTTACGCAGAGGGGTTTCATTTTGCAGGGAATGTGGAAGCATCCACACAAAAATAATTTCGTTTCAGCCACTCCCGTCCATCGTTTACCGTAACTTATTCTAGGTTTCCGTATTTTTTTATTTGTTTTCCGTATCTACGTTTAAGCATGTTTGTCCTGAACTTTTCCGCTCCTAAGGCATTTTTCGCAAAATAAACACAAAACGCAGACCAGAACCACTACGACTTTTAGACCAGGAGCGACGTAGGTAGGGGAGACTTTAGACACAAGTAGACAAATCATTTACTTCCATACAGAATGAAAAGAGATTATGTCGGGGCAGATTTCCAGTAGTACTATCAATAAACGTCTGGTTGCCCCATATGCAGCCGTCAGATTGTCTTGGGCGAGCATGTCTACTCCGGTCTTATAGCTGCTTAGCTGAAAAGAAAGCAGTACCTCGTGGTCTCGAGGGCTCGCCTGGCACGATGGGAGCACCACACAGGGGCCCACAATGCCAGACGAATAACTGTCACTGGTGCTTACGTTCAAGTATGCACCAAAGCCACAGTGTTTTAACATACTGCCAGAATATATTCATTACGCAAAATTTGCCTTCTAAGGTTTATTCTGCTTTATGCCAGCTAGCCTGCCTCCACCCGCTCCTTTATTAACCATTTTTGGACTTTCCATCAAATGGCCTCAACTAACTTCTGTGCACTTCCAGGCATCAAGACACTTTTAGACATTTATTCCTGAGAAAATGCAACGCTTTGATAGCTTATCGGTCATTTCAGAAACTGCACCTTTAAAAACCCAGTTACATGCCTATCGTTGACTACCAACGACTTGCACCTGTAAGGTGGTTTGACGGCTATTGGGACGTCATCCTTGGTCCTCAGGTTGGACTCGCAAACAGTGAGCAAAAGAGCAAGATTGGCTTGATTTTGTTCTTTCTTCATCAAACACAGCATACATTCGATTGCTTTATGGGGAGATTCGAGAGACTTACCCTAGATCACTATTTCTTAACCGTCCCATGCCCTGGGAAAGAACTGTGTTTCTGATTTTTTGTCTAGAAAATGTTTGACAGGAGTACGTACTTCGCACCTATCTGATGTAAGGTCTTTTCAAATCCAGGCGCCTGACCGGGTTGGTGAAATTGTTGAGGATCGCCTGATGGTGCAACGGCTGTTTCGTCATGTGCATACCGTCGACTTTTCCCGGTGGTATATACCATCGGCAAGCTTTTCCATCAAATGATGTACTTGTAACACGCTAAAGCGAAGCTAGCACTTAACCGTCGATTTTTCCCATCGAAGGCCAGGGTGGGAACCTGGGGCTGCACTTATACTCAACGACAGATCGGTCGGGATTAAGTACAAAATTTCTTACCAAGTGCTTTATGCTCACGCTTGTGGCTGTGTTAATCGTGAGTAGCTTAGCCGATTCCACATCTTAGGCCGACCTCATCACTTAAGGTCTCCTCCACAGTACGTCTAGTCAAAGGCATACTCCCAAACAAATTTGAGCTCTTTGACATGTAAAACCCGTATATCAGAGTTTGCAGGCCCGAGGTGTGCTCAGGATCGACCTTTATCACGTTCAAACACGTCTTCATTTGCCAACGTCGCCAGACATATCCGAGTTCGGCAGTTGATAGCCCTGATGCTTTCTCCGTCAGTAGAGCGCCGTTGACGGATTTCTTTCATAATTGACTACTACAAGGAAAATCCATCACTTACATCCGGGGAAATGATATCTTCTGAGCGTGCGGATCATGTCCCACATCCATACATAAACATCTTCCTAACTCACAGCATAGTTTTCAAGATGATTTCAGATCGACTCCAGAGGTTTTGAAAAGGTTTGGTGAAGACTGTGCACCGGGCTGATTCGCTGATTGTTGTCACCCCCCTACTTTGCTTGTCCAGTAGAACCCGTTTATTGACCCGATAGTCTCGCCCTCTACCCCAGACTGACTGCTAATTCAGAAGTGGCCATCTTCTTGAAGGAGTCGATCTTTAGGCCCACTTCAGCCCCTTTGCGCCTGCCGGGGATAAATCGCATTGATTTCTGCCATCGAGCGTACCAGTACCGCAGCGTTCTCAATGAAATCCAGGTTCGTGATGCAGTGTTTATGATCCGCTTTATCTCTGGCAGTCTGAACGCACGCTCATGAACTAGTCCCATCACGTAAGGAAGAAATGGACGCCGAGGCTGCCCAGTTTTTCACCATTGGGTCAAGAATTGTTAAGGTCCACCAAACACACAAATTAATTCTTCCTATCTTAATGTTCGCGAGTTTTGGTGCTTATTCTGTGGTACTAGTGATACTTGGGATCCAAATAAATAAGAGCACAATTCTCGAGACAGAGGAGCTGTCCGTAGCAATGACGGTATTCTAGAGTCTGGCGACGCGAGGAGTGCTGGTCAACACGTCTTCATCCTGGCAAAAACTCTGCCAGTGTTTGTCCGCACATCATGGTATGAGTAAGAGTGGTTGTAGAGGTCGGTTGCAGTGACTTTCTGCGACGCTAAGGTGTGTGTGCCACATCAGTTTTCACACAGTCCTCTGTCATCTTTATTAGGGGTGGGCATTACACGATCTTTGCCTTTGCCATTAGGTACGGTTCTTTTTTCCAAAATTGACAACAGAAGGATGTTTAGTCAGTCAAGAACCTTTTCCCAAAAGAACTCGTAGATATCTACCGAGGCATCCGCAGTCGCAGCCATATCCAGACGCCGAAATGTCTTTTAACAAAATATCAGTCAACGAGGGTAACCCCCTCGCCCTCCAGACTCAGAAGCTTCATAAAATGCTTCCTTGAACTAGGGGCCATGCCTGACAGTAACCTTATCCTCACAATTTGACTGTCTCTTATCATTGATCCCGACGGATTAGACGGACGACTTGTCTTTTAGATCCGTCACACCCTCGTCTTGTCCCCTCTGTCTAAGGCGTTTTCGAGAACCCGGGCAGTTTTACGCCAAACTTGTTTATAGTCATGCCGGGCACATAGCGTAACTACGTGGTACACATCCTTCCTTCGACCCCTATTTTGCAGCTAGGGCCGTAGCAGGCACACGAGACGGACAGGACGAGCAAGTACGGATGCAACAATCAGAACGAGAATACCCTAAAATAGGGCTTTATTCATCTTAAAATTGACTTACTGGAACTAGAATGAGAAATAGAAAAGTAGTAGATAAGATGGAATTTAGCCAGGGGCTTATGTTAGCGTGACACCCGGAAACTCTTGCACGGCCACTATTCTAACCGGCCGTGGCCTCCGCGCTCTGAGGGCTGCTCGGCATGGCACATTAGATGTCCTATCTCATCGAATTTTAACTGAAATTCTGAAATGTATTTTTGACTCAAAAAGACCACTTAAGTCGGCACGTAGTATCGATTGTCGTGCAGCATAATCCCCGGATGTTAGAATGCCGACTTTTAGATGAGCTTCCTTCTGACCGCCTACAAAAACTACATTGTAAAAAAGACTACTTTAGTCGCATGCATGTTTAACATTGCTTTTTGGTGTCCTTATAGATACAAACATGTTTTCTATTCTTCATGCACAAAATACCTTTTTATTTTCAATTGGTAGCAAATTAAATCTTCTTCAAATCTAGTAACAAACTACGTCCTCTAGTTTTGTACTTGAAGAGTGTCTCCCAGTTTTAAAAAGTTTTTAACTATTGGGTTTTTTAAGATCGCGAACTGTCCAATCATACAGCATCACATCTACATGCTGATTAAAAGCGAATAACGTAGTCCGCATAAATTACAAAATTTTACGAGTTGTATGTGGCGTTTTCCCAAGAGTGCATGGGAATGTATGATTCTCCTTACACGAAAAACATGCACCTTGTGGTTTGGCATGTTGTAGCTAGGACCGTGGTAAGCACACGAGATGGAGAGGACGAAAAAATATGGATGCTAGAGTCAGAACGAGAATACCCTATAACAGGGCTTTATCCATCTTACAATTGACGTACTGGGACTAAAATGAGAAATAGAAAAGTAGTAGATAAGATGGAATTTAGCCGGGGGCTTATGTTAGCATGACATCCACCCCGGCCAACAAATGGAGGAATCGAGATGTCAAAAATCGATAGGAAAAGTCTGCACGGGGCAAAGTTCAGGCGTCTCTGTTACGAAGACAGTACGGGTGAACACGTTGTTGCTTTTGGGTTAATGTTTCTAGGTTATGCATATGGACATCGTCAGCGTTCGGTACACTAATAGGTGTTGCATCATTCTGTTCGTCAGTTGAAACGGTGCAACTTTCTTGCTCGGTAATGGGTGGGTGGTCAGGGGAAAGTGGGAAGAAATTTTTTGTTGCCGGCGTGGCCGTCTCCTGATGGCAATCACCAACATCCTTTTCACCGCTGGGAGCAAGCAGTCGAACAGATACCGTTTCTCTTCTGCCATTACTGAATCGTATATGAGCATACTGAGGGTTACATTGGAGTAGTTCTACCTCCTCAACAAGCGGATCAAACTTAGATGTTGATTGCTCTTCTTCAGCAGAACTCTGTTAGAAGAGGTAAGCCACATGGGGAGAGTAGTGCCAGTAGTTGACCTCCTGTTGTAGATAAACATTCTCTCATGAGGTGTCGCATTAGTGGCGGTGCACAAAAGTGTTCTAATTGAGTGTAAAGCGTCAAGTAAGACGGATTCTCAGTGTGTGACGGGCAAATTTTGAGATTTTAGGGCAAGCAAGATAGTCCTCCATAAAGTTTGGTTCACACGTGCGACCTGCCTATTTCCTTGGGGATTGTATGGAGTTGTTCTACTCGTCGCCACTCCCTTACTGCGATGGAATTGCTGAGCATCATTTGACATAAATGACGATCCCCGGTCGATGTGTATGTACGAAGGACTGTACCAAACTATACCTCTCCACGCTTGACGATCCGCGGCAGCAGATCTGGACAGTTCAACCGATTCTCTTCGCCAACGACGTAGACCGAATACTGAAGGTCCATGAACCACCTCCATGTCTTGACAAACTGTGTCGGGCCAGGTTTTAAACTGACCCCCTCTTCGACGCCTCCAATGGGGCAACGGTGCCGGATCGAGGGCAGTAACACTTAGCTCCTGGGGTGGGCGACGAAAAACATGCCCAAACCACCTTAATCACCTTTCCTGGATGGCCTGGATTATCTCTGCAATGTTGCCGCAGCGAGCGTGGGCTGTCTCATTTGAGACGAAGTCGCGGTGTACTTCACTCGAAAGATGGCCTACAAGCGATGGTAGTCAAATACCTCCAGTTTTCGCTCCTCTTCCACGCGCACAGTCCAGCATGCACAACCGTGCAGAAGGACAGACCGGACAGATGCACGGTGCACGCAAATCTTATTGGCGATGGAGATGTCGCGGAGGCATTTTCTAAGGCTTGAAAAAGCCCGTCGGACGGCATCAATTCAGGAGGCAATGTCATCCTTACTCTGACCACTCGGCAGCAGCCTCGCCCCGAGGTATGCAAAACTGTCTCCTTTTTTTCAAGCCGACAGCCATCAATCCCGACAGGTGCTTTCTCCTGCTCAAGGATGCAGCTTGAAAACACTTTAGTCTTCCCAGCGTTTATGGATAAACCGACCGATTTAGCGACCAGAAGGTAAAGGTGGATTTTGACGGTGGAGGAGCTTTCAGTGCATATTAACTGCAAACTACAAATAACTGCAGACTCGGTTCTGAAGAGTAGTCAGTCGCGGACCAGCACCATCAGTATCACCAAATGCCGACAATTACGTGTGAATTAATTTATAGTGGGACAAACTTTTATAGCATCTACTTCACCCCTCCTTCTCTCTCCCACCTTGCACCGATGACAAGACTATTGAGACGACCGGAGGCAAAAAAATGGACACAATCACCGACAGAGCGAAACAGCCCGTTTACGCGTACCGCACATGACCTGGTCACCACTCCAGGTGCGTCTGGTCACGATAACGCGCCTCAGATCTCACGTTGGTGTCATCAGAGTCGCATTGAGGGGAGGGACATTGCAACCTGACTCTCAATGCTGGAGATTACCAAGTTAATCCGTCAATTTACCTCCTTCCAAGCCACAACTCGTTGCACGCCACGATAGTTTTAAGCGCGTCAGTCGGGTGGATGGATTCCTTAATGTCGACTTCTCTCCCTCTCACGCTCTCCCTTCTCGTGCGTTAGTCGACTGCCAACCAGTAGGTGGTTGAATTCGGCACAGTGCTTGACGCGGCTTGGTCTGCCTCCAAGGGCCTTTGACGTCCGGTAGTAGTTGTAGACTCGGTGCGGTCCGGTAAAGACGCACCGTGAACTATGCTGACCCCCGTTTTGATCTAGCCCATCAACAGCCCGGTCTGTCGTGAGCGTTTGAAGTCTTCGAAGCATTTCCTGTGGAATTCATGGCTTCTCTGAGTAGTTATCAGAATGCCGAGACGCCGAAGTCAAGAAAAACACGCTGTATGTGTCTGTAACTACTTTTTTTGTTGCCTTTTTAGTGTACGGCTGCGGTCTCTGTATCCTTTCGAAATCCTTCTCGGCCCAGCGTCTGAGTGCGCTTCTTGCACGTGCATCCACCATCGTCTCGCGGAAGCTTTATCTTAAACTTCCCCCACCGCTCTACACTGATCCTTGCCTCCAAACCTGGAAGGAACTCATATCCATATGCTATGCAACGGCGAGTACCGTAAGCCCCGTCTGCTCTGATGACATTTTAGACCTTAGTCCTGCCCCACTACCAGCATCTGCCTCCTGCTTCCACGTGTCGCGCCAGCTGAAGTAACCGCCGCCAGAAAGTTTGAAGTCATAATCACTGACGCTGACGCAGTTGACAACGCGCCTACTCTCGATGTTGCGAGTAAACTGGGAAATGTTGTCGGGGCGGAAGTTCGGTCCTGGCCAGGTACAGTTAGTGACCTAACTCATGACATGTGTCGAAATTTACGAATGCTTGCCAATCACTCCCAAACCGACACTATTTCATGAGTCCAATGTTTATGTTAATTAAGTACAATTTTAAAAGAATTAAAAACATAAAAGAAATATCAAAGGCAGTGTGGCGTTGTTGAGAAATGCCGATTTATTTTGAAAAGCACAATGTCCCGAAAACGTCAGAAATGGTTATAATTTAGTAAACGTAGTAAATATGAAAGTACTAATAAAATAACGTCTAATAATAGTGTTTGAGTGAAGTTTACATCTAAATATCGTTTAATAATAAGTGTGATTTCATATACGACGGTTTGTTAACTGCCTACATTCTGAGTGTAGATTCCAAAACAGATTTGAAGGGTTTCGTGTTATTTTTGACTCGTTTGAAGTGATTGAGGTGGGGTTCAACAAGAGAAGCTCAAATTTGCTTGATTTCACCGATGGGGGTGTCGTAGGAACAAACGTTTTCATATGGTGACATGTTGTGAGGCCGGTCGGTGCCTAATAAGTTTAAATAGAACTGACAGGCTTGATCGCAAACATACCATTTTGGAACAAACTTTTCTTCCGTTAAATTAATTTGCACTTTTCCTTCGTTTTGGATTACGTTGAGTTTCGGATCGTCCTCGAAATGTTGCTAAATACTTCATGATTTTCAGTGTTTTCACCCGATTGTCCTTAAAGACAGATATTGAATTACCCGTCTGTTTAGAACTTTAAAATAAGATTATTCTTGTAGGCATTTACCGAACTACCGAGTGTTCGGGCGCTTTTTTCACGAAGATGGTCGTTTGGATCACATGTGAAGACTCATTCAAACATCAAACTTTATTTTCGAGATGCGTAATCGGAGTCTAGGACATGTATTAGCATAGGAAATGGCACGAATATATTCCAACGTCCATTTTCGCTAAAAATTTGCTGATATTTTACTTGATATGATGACGTAAACACAATTTCTGCACAAGCAAAGGACATTTCATTGAAGGATGTGGATGAGCGAACAAAATGCTCAATGTTAAAGGCGTCCAGAAATTCTCTTATCAGTTTCCGTTGTCAGATTTCATGAGATAAGTCACGTACTGCATGTAGGTTCTGGCCTAGTCACCTTTCGCTTCTCAAAACGCCAGTGCCTAGTCCGTGCACTTTCCCTCTTTCTCTATCTACCTCTCTCTAGATGTCTGCCCTGATTGCGAATCCCAGTATATTGGCAAAGTGGACAAGGCGACTGTGCATCCTCAGCCCTCGGTATGTCTTGGTGGGACGTTTGACCAGTTGCACAATGGCCACCGCGTCCTCCTGAGCGTTGCGGCACTGCTGGCTCAACGACGACTCCTAGTGGGTGTGACGGATCCCAGCATGCTGCAGAAGAAGGTTCTCGCACCACTCATCCAGACCTATGATGAGCGGTGTCGGGCCGTGGCCGATTTTCTCCGGGACATCAACTGTGCTCCCGAGGAGACAGTCAGTTTTGCTCGCCTCACGGATCCGTTTGGGCCTCCGATCAGTGATCCGGACTTCACCTGCATAGTTGCCAGTCCCGAATCGGTGTCAGTGAGTTCTATCCACGCAAGACTGGACTGACTTATCTTCCTCCTTCCCTAGAAATAATCACCTAGACCACTTATAATACGTGGAGCTCTAAGCCACAACCCTTCTCCATCGTTTGATCACTTTAAATTCTTGCAGTTAATCATCCTATTTTGATATCTCAGTGATACCTAACGCCTAATCTCTCCTGGCCTCTTCGCACTTAGTCCCCTTTTAGTGGGAGTAGAAAAGTTGTTTATTAGATACAGTATTCAGTCCCGTTACTGGAACGTTGGTCTGGCGTTTTGTTTATTCATGCCTAAACGCACAGGAAAGCCGGCCGCCACACTCATTTCCCACTCACGCACCAACCAACTGTTCGAGTATGTTCGCCGACTGGCAATGACATTTTGCGTGCGGCGTGAAAGGTTCCGTCTACGCATGCCACACGCACTTCCGTCAGTGACTGAGGGCTCATGCACCTTTGTCACAGCCTGGCTAACGTCTGCTATGAACTGATTTTAGTCCCTTTCCAGCTCAGCACTGCAAGTAGCAGTCTACCCCTATACTATCCTCTCATTCTATGCCTTCATCTAAGGCTGCACGCAGTATAGGTCAGTATATTTTAAGGGTAATAGGCAATGCCTTAGAAAACCCTACTGAAAACGGTACATGCAATATCTAACTTTAAATAAATATGGTACTAAAATGTTGTCAGTAATATATCACACGAGCTCCTGTTTCTGACAGACTTTGCTATTGCACCTATTGTGCCCCTCAAGCGACTCACGTAGTAGATGCGCTGGGCCAACAGAGTAGCTAGACCAGAGTCCAGGAGGCGTTGTAGTGAATGCGCACCGATCACAAATGTCAACGTTGGGGTGTGGTGGCAGGCCCAGTTGCCGGTTTACGGCACACCAACTGGGATCCGTGCTGCCCCCTGTTTTCGTTGATATAAAATCCCGGTCAGTGTGCGTTGTGGATCAGGCGGTGTAGTGGTGTGCCGTGCCAGCCACATGTGCCCCCTCTCTCCTCCGGTCTTCTTGACATCGGATACAGGCGGAGGAGGAGAGAGTGCGGTAGATGCTGTGCAAGTCTACTATCACTGTGGAATAATTCATGCTCAAGTCACCACCCTTGCTCTCACCCTGCTATGGATCTCACGATGTCCATCGTCGACATCGATGACTGAACTATTACGCTGGTGCTTGTTAGACAGATCTCTACGTACCGCTGTCCATATGCACATACGTTTTACTTGCTTTCTACGTATCGTTTTGTGCCGAACGTCGCACGGCTATCCGCCAGTCTCCGCAACCCAAAGCCCGAATTCTATCAGTCCAGTAGCGCCACGCTACGTCCTGTGTGGGCAACTCTTTCGTGCGGGTAAATACTTCCGAGCTCAGCCGACTCGACGCGAGTCTGTTAGTGCAGTGCCGAGAGTGTTGTTTTGATGATCAATCGACTCGAGGTTCGAATGTCGACTATGCGTCCCCGGGGTTCAGGTATTACTGGCTGATGATGTCAGGCAAGTCAGAAACGGCTACTTCAGTCACGTTCTTGTCTTTGTTGGTAAGCACTTCTCAGTTACAATTTTAGCCTACATATTTTCTTTGTACACTGCAGCCAATTCTATGTCGCAACTAGGGTACTCAACGGCTCACGCCTATTTTCCTCACTAAACTGAGTTGAATAATGCATTTTGGCGGTGATCCTTCGGTCCCATCACCCTGCGTCTACTTAAGTAGTGCGGCCGTTTTAATTTACTTCTGGCTGGGCACGAAACTATGGACTCTCCGTATTGCAGGTCGCCTTGCCTTAAAATTCATTAGGGTTGGAAGTTAGTGTTAGGGTTATGTTTAGGGTCGAAGTTAGTACACGGAAGTCGACACTCCCTAAAATTTGGTGTAAGACCGCCCGTAGTCCGGGGGGAGGTGGTACTCCCGTGTCTGACTGTACTGTCTAAATGAAGTACAGTCTACTAACATCCTCAGTAGAAGTTTAATCGATCCACATTCCCCAACGATCCTCAGTCCGATCCTGAAGCCCGATTTAGCCTTCCGCTTATAAGTCATATTGAATTTAGAAACCACTGTTTTGCCTGAGAATTGTTGGTCTGATAACCCTCTAGATCTTGACCCTCGCTATCGGCGTATGCAACTAGAAACATGTGTTACCCCTTGTCAAACAGTCGTTTTGAGGTCGTAATTACTTCATAACATTTGTTGAGGTTTTCTATCGCAACTTTACCGAACCTTCCATTTTCAACCCAAGTCAAACCACGCCGTTATCGCCAACTCTTCCCCTAAGTTTAGACTACGATTTAACCCCCCCCCCCCCCTCTTCTTAACTCTCGCAGGGCAGCCAGAAGATCAACCAGCTGCGCTCAGAAAAGGGCTTTCCTCCCCTACACATTGAAGAAATACACTTCACCAAGGGTCCAATGTGAGTTCTAGATCATATGCTATGTGTTCTCTTCTAAACACTCTTGAAAAATCGTGCCGTCATAGCTAGCTACATTTTTGCCCTTTCCTCCCGATCGCACATTCGTAGTGCGCATCTCTGACGATTGTGTGTGACGGTTTGTTTACCATTCAGTCGCCTGAAAACAACTGCCCCTCCGGCCCGCCGACCAAGTCACCCACGCTATAAAAGACAAGTTAGGGTTTTCAATCAGCTGATCGAGGAGGTTACGTGTCCGAGCTTCGTACCTCGCTGGACTCTCAGGGCCAGTAAGATCTTCGTAGCCCTGATCGAAGCCTTTCGACCTACTTCCTCTATGCAGTGAATGACACGTCTCACGGAATGTTGACCGCAATTCTGAACTACGTTTTTGATTAGGATGGGTTACTTGGGTGGGTTGTGGCATAAGTTGGAGGTATTTCAGACGCGTCAGGCTTTTCGCTTTCGAATGTCCTTCTTCTTCGTCCACCCTCAAAAACTGCACTCAGTAAAAGCGACTACTTAAGTAGTGGGCATTTCCTTTGCCCATCTTCGATGCCCTTATACATTTAAAAAAAATTTTTTCATGAAACTGCACAAAAATATCTTTCTCGTACTCATTTGGTAGCAAATAACGTCTTCAAATTTTCTATCCAAAGAAGGATATTCTTCGGTTTTTAAAAGTTTTTATGATGTTTTTCAAGACCATGTAATGTCCATTAGAATATCATCGTATCTCTCGGAGTAGTGCTACTCATCAAGCATACAAAATAATCTGCATCCGTTACTACATCTTATTTGCCCCAAATATTAGCATAAGGCAATGCATGTTTTTCCTTACGCGGAAAGTGTACAGCTTGAAGACTGAAAACCCTAAACGAAAGTCTAACAGCAGATCGAGTCCGAAACCATTTGGGAATTGAAAACTTTAAAAACCAAAACATACCCTTTCTTCAAGTATGGACTCGGAAGAGAGTATGATTTGCTACCAAATGAGTGCGGTAAATAATATTTTTATGGAGGTTTTCTATGAATTGTATTTGAATTCACGAGGGCATCGAAAATCGATATAGAAAAAGCGCACAACATAAGTAATTAGTATTTGCCGGGTGCGGTTTCTGCCAGTGGCCAAAAAGAAGCTCAGTAAAAAAGCGAACACCCTGACGTGTCGAAAATACCACGGGATTACTTCGTAAGATAATCTTACAGCCCTACTCAGGTAATCCTTCTTAATCGAAATCGCATTTCAGAATTCCGGTTGACATTTCATGAGATCGGTCGCTGTCGGACTCTGCGAGGCTTCGGTTAACAGGAGTGTAGAAGTCGGTCTTTGCATGTCTGTCTAACAATTGTTCCAAAAGTCATTGAGGCATAATGTGAAATATTGGCGGTTGCCGCACTGCTTAACACGAAATATTGACAAGACACCGGAATAAGAACCCTCGTGACGCGGCCCCTTGGTCAAAAAAGAGTAAACATGGGCGCTCACTAACTTATTGCAAGTAGTATAATCAGATGTAATGTAGGTGACTGGTTATGTGGGTATGTGTGTGAACGGTGATTAGGAGGCTTGATGCGTATTGAGTCTGCATTTAAATGAATCCACACAGGAGGACGGACGGCATGAGTGGGCGGGACGTTCCACTCTGCAATCACTGTACTGAAAAAAATCACGTCTATTGATCCTTGCTCTATCTGAACGTTTAGGGGAAAAGAAGCAGATTCGTAAGACAGGACCTACCACTTCGAAAGCCGTGTGAGACATTGGAGAGGAGGTGATGCTGCTCGAGGAACTGCCTCAACGCTTTCTTTATGATTTCCCTTATGATTTTGCAACAAATAGATGTAAGACTAAATATCCTTCGCAGGCGCTCTTTATTAGCGGACTTCGCATAAAATCCGAGAAGAGTCACTTCCCGCATGCGTGTAATTTGTCCATGGGTTTTCGACGTTTGAACAAAATCTGTGCGATTTCTGGTATAAATGCATGAAAATTTGCCTGTCACATTCATATTTTGCCAAAGTACGTCTTTTCCTAATCTTTTCAAATATGATCTCGATCGGAATGAATTACTAAGGTGGGATTATAATATCATCATGCAGCATAATCCAGAGGGAAAGTATGTATGATAATATTTTCTTGCACTCGTTTTGCAGAACATTTCATCTTCAAATTTACCGAAAGTTGCGCACCTAAAGAGGACGCAATGTTCGGCAAATTTGGAGTAGTTGAAATGTCCAGCAAAACGAGTGTACAAAGAAACGAAATTTTTTAATTTAGAAAAATTTGTTAACTGTGGGATCTTTTGTGTTCTTTACATATCTATTCAATTATCATAGTATATGCCCGTACGCCGTATGATGTATACAATGTGTTACACATCCATTGCGAAATTTTGTTAGATCTGTATGAAACCCTAACAACCCGGAAGAATATATGATTTTTTTGAAGTGGGCAGTATTCATCTTGTAGATTGGAGACCCCAAACACAAGTGTAACGGCAGGTCAGATTGAAAATTATTCAGAAATCGAAAAAGTTTAAAACTAGTAGACAGCCCTCCTTCGAGTAGAGGATTTGAAGACGGGAATTACTATAAGGGGAGTTTAAGGAAGAATATTTTTATGCGTGCTCTCTATTAAATATTTCTGACTTCGCGCGGACATTTAAATTCGATTGGAACATTCATACCATTTAACTAGTCGCTTTGGCGATCGTGATCGTGAACCTGGTCGGTAAAATGCGTGTTTAGAGACCCGAATCCTGCCGTGACAGGAGCGTCTTTGGACTATGCCTTATGCTCAGTTCAGTTCAGTTTGTTTGAGGGAAGTTTCGGTGTTACGCCCTTCAACCCCCATTTGTCAGAAGCAGCTACGGGCGAATTATCGAAACTGCACAGATAAACGAATTAGCCCAGGTGTTATAAACACTGGCACTACTTAGTACGTTGTACAGTAGCCGGTCTATGGACAATTGTACCGTAGGAGGTTTGCTGCGCTCTCAGTTGTCTGTGGGCGCCAAATTGAATGTCAGCATCCCCGTGCAGGAGTTTGGGACAATACTTAATTTAAAAAACGAGCATTACTGAAATATAGACAGTAATATTATAAGAGTAAATCATTGTTGGTATGCAGGGTTAAGACGATTTTGGTCAGGTGGCATCGTGATGTGTAGTGACATACTGCTTATCAATATTACAACCCCACCTAGGCAAATCGTCTTAACGGAAATTACATTTCAGTCAATGATTCATGAGTTTTTGTGTGTTTTGGTTTAAGCAAGTGCAATTAACCCAGTTGTAAAGAACTCGGCAATCACTGCAGCATCCGAACATGCAACATTAGGGACTTGACTTTGGTATAACCAACAGCCTCTTTAGTGAAATCCTGGAGTACGATCACATTTGATTTAGGTCACCCGCTTAGGAAGACCTTCTCGGGCAGTCAGCCTACTGTCTTAGCCCAAATTTAAAATTGCAAGGCTCCCTCAGGGACTGCGTAGCTCAGGTAGTCAGATCGCTGATTGTACTAACTCCACGCCCAAACTGCTGAGGGTTCTAATTCCTCCGAAAGTGCTGGGTCTTCTTTGATTGAGTCAGTCAAATTATTCATGTCTTGATTACGAGAAATGTCAAGATTTTCTCACAAGCGTTCGCAGTGTGTCACGAGGCTCGGCGCTTACTGTCCACGATTACTTACCATTACCTACGTTTGTCGACTTTATTTTCACTAACCTTCCCGTGTCCATCTCGCTCATAGTTGCGGCTCCGCTGAGGGGCTCCATTGCCCATCCGCCTGGCCTGAAGAAAAGATAAGCTCATCTACTTCACGGCTACAACTGCTCGGTCGCCTACTTCGTCCGCCGAGATCTCAGGCCGCTTCTGGTCAGGAGCGCAGACGACGGCCCTATGTAATTGGCCTTGCAGGTCCTGCAGGGTCTGGCAAGTCCTCCATATGTCGTCATCTGGCGGACTTTGGCGGTGAAAGGATCTCCTTCTTACCCGCCGACCAAATTGCTCACGCCATCTACGAGTAAGTCACTTTGCTGTCTAGGAATTTGAAACTGGAAACAGTCAGAAAATGCCGAGCCGGCAAATGGGTACTCCATAAAAGGCTGTCCAACGAATCACGTCCTGCCCGAGTTTTGGACAAGTGGTAGAGACTGTAATGCGTGCTCCGGTTGGACTTGCTGAGATCTGATAGCTCCGGAGGAATCAGTCTTCTGCTTAAGATGACAGTTGTCCACCCTTATTGAAAAAATTTATACGCATCTGAAGTCGGCACCCACCTCGAAGACTTGAGATAGTCCGTACAGTTTGAAATTGCCTACTTATTCAAATTGACCGTCATTAATCCGGATGAGTACCTCCTCTTGATCAGGGATGCAGTTCGAAAACACTTTTATCCTCCCAGCTTTTATGGATAGACTGACTGATTTAGCGTTCTTATTCACCTGTGATACCACAGATTGTAGATCACCAAAGCTTGAGGCCAGCAAGGCCATATCGTCAGCGTAGTTGAGATCAGTCGACTGGCGTCCGGGTGCGAATTAAACATCGTCCAAACCGTGAAAGGTCCTTTCGAAAATCCAGGTAATGGCGAATTTTAACAAAATAGGCGACAGGATATCATCTTGTCAAACGCCAAGTCAAATATTGTAATTGTTGGGAGGGATTGTTAGGAGCCAGAACTCGCGCAGTAGTGGAGCGATAGTGGGCCACGATCGTGGCGATTATTTTTGCCGGCATGCTATCAACTTCAGTTGTCCGTCGCAGAGACTCCCGACAGATGGAATCGAACGCCGCGGCGACATAAACAGAGCAGACGGCCGTCAGTCATGAGATTACTTCAAGAATGCACCGTCGTCTGGTCCACGCATCCACGCCCAGCCCAAAGTCCGGACTGGTTGAGTCTCATCCTCGCCTGAGAATGACAACAGCGAAGACTTTCGCAACAGTGTCGAGTAGGGCTATGCCTTGGTAATTCTCGTACTTTGTCTTTTCTACCTTCTAGTAGACAGATGCGAGGTTGTCCGAGCACCAGTCATCGGGCTCCTCACGTTTGCACAGCCAGAACGCCAGAGTGTTGCCACCAGACACCCACCACGCCGTGGGGCGACTGTCAAACTGACGAGATTTCTGTGGGAATACCGTTTACCACAGACGCCTTCGTGTTGCATCGGTGCTTTCTCCCTGACATTGCATGGCCGGGAAGAAGAGAGAGAAAGAGATGAGACTTCTTCAGAGGAAAACGAGAATGTGATGGGTCGGCCACCGAAATCGGAGGAGGATCGTCAACCAAAACCCAGCACGCCGCTGTGTTCGAATACTGTTAGGACGGCCCAGAACAAGACGCACCGTTCCTGTCGTCCGGAGGTCACGCCTGACAAAGAACCACAAACCGGCGGGACAGCCTCGCCTAGGAAGCCCGCATGCGAGCCAGACATTAGCACGCCGCTGAGTCATGCGCGACCTCCAGGGGTCAGCAACACGCGAGGGCCTGCCCATGCGGGCGCTCAGGAGTGGACCAATAGGAACACGCAAACCAGACGAAGGCTGAACCCTTAAATACGAAGCCACGGACGGAAGGATTAAGAGTTGATGTACACAGGGTGACTGACGCAGTAAAGCTGTTCTCTCCTATCCTGTCTGTCTTCTATTCCGCACAGAACTGGCGTCATACTAATTGGGGATATAACAAATACTTTCCAGGCACTTCCTTATTCCAACTCATATTAGAGTAGCCTCTCCAATTAGTGTATTAGTGCATGCTTTATATGTGCTTAAAGAGTATGCGCGTGGAAGAGCCCTATGAGAGACACATCCTCGATGCCGTCCTACAGGATCAAGTAGGTAACTCACTGCGGCGGTCTCGTCTATAATTTTGACTATTGTTGTTGCCGCTTTAACGTTTGGAGAACTTCCCCAGGTTTCTGTGGGAATACCGCCTGCTACAGACACTTTCGTATTGCATCGGTGCTTTCTCCCTGACACTGCATGGCCAGGAAAAAGAGAGAAAGAGATCAAATTTCGCCAGAGGAAAACGAGAATGTGATGGGTCGGCCACCGAAATCGGAAGAGGATCGTCAACCAAAACCCAGCACGCCGCTGTGTTCGAATACTGTTAGGACGGCCCAGAACAAGACGCACCGTTCCTGTCGTCCGGAGGTCACGCCTGACAAAGAACCACAAACCGGCGGGACAGCCTCGCCTAGGAAGCCCGCATGCGAGCCAGACATTAGCACGCCGCTGAGTCATGCGCGACCTCCAGGGGTCAGCTACACGCGAGGTCCTGCCCATGCGGGCGCTCAGGAGTGGACCAATAGGAACACGCAAACCAGACGAAGGCTGAACCCTTAAATACGAAGCCACGGACGGAAGGATTAAGAGTTGGTGTACACAGAGTGACTGACAGTAAAGTTGTTCTCTGGTATCCTGTCTGTCTTCTATTCCGCACAGAACTGGCGTCATACTATTTGGGGATATAACAAATACTTTCCAGGCACTTCCTTATTCCAACTCATATTAGAGTATCCTCTCCAATTCGGAAGCATTTTAGTCTGTGTATTAGTGCAGGCTTTATATGTGCTTAAAGAGTATGCGCGTGGAAGAGCCCTATTAGAGACACATCCTTGATGCCGTCCTACAGGATCAAGTTGGTAACTCACTGCGGCGGTCTCGTCTATAATTTTGACTATTGTTGTTTCCGCTTTAACGTTTGGAGAACTTTCCCCAAACACACGAAACCCTGCTAACAGCCAGTGGTCGATCTCATGAAGTGTTAGCCGAAATTGTGAAATGGGCTTTCGATTAGGAAAGATTGCATGGGTGGGGTTGTAATATTAATTATCATGCGGCGTAATCCCATGATATTCCAGACCCGTAAGGATGTTGACTTCAGAACTCCCGTGGAAACCGCACTTGGCAAAAAGTGACCATTTGAGTAGTATGCATTTTTCACATTGATTTTCGATTCCCTTTAAATTTAAAATATATTTCATGGATCACATGCACAAAATATGCTTTCTTATGTTCTTTTAGTGGCAGATCACTTCGTCTTCGCATTTTATGCTCGAAGAAGGGTATATTTAGGCTTTGAAAACGTTTTCCATTTCCCGAATAATTTTGAGCCAGATCAGCAGTTGCATTAGCGCTTAGCGATTTCAGCCTACAAGGTGTATGCTTTCCACGTAAGGGGCATCATGAATTCCTCCTTGCTTTTAAGAAGAAACCATGTAGAGCTCACAAAATTTTGCAATAAATGCGCACTGTGTTGGATACCTCATGAGAACTATCAATAAATGGGCAGGTACGATGCTTTGTGAGTAGACATTGCGCTGTCTTAAAAATCTCATGCTACGAAACTTTTTTTAAATCAAAAGGTACTCTTCTATCGAGTATAGAATTTTAAGAAAGTGTAATTCACTTTTAACGGAGTGCATGAAGGAACATTTTCGTGCGTGTTTTCCGTAAAATATGTTTGAATTTACAAGGGCATGGAAAATTAATGTGAAGATTTTCTGCTACTTAAGTAGTCCTTATCGGCCGACTAGGGTTTTTACAGGTCGAGAAAAAGTGCATTCAAAAGCCAACATCCTTGCTAGTCCGAAATATCATAGGATTCTGCTGCATGGTAATCAGTAGTATAACCCCTCATAAGTAGCTTTTCCCAGTCGAAAACGCATTTCAGAATTTCAGCTAATATCTCATAAGATCGATTACTGACTGTGTGGGCAAGTTGTCAAAAGTGCCTACACCCCAATCTGCAAGTCATTTTAGTCCTAACCGTTTGCCATCTCTACAACAGGCCTGGCACTCGGACCTATCACGCGCTGATTGAGAAATTCGCTCCCGACGTAATCATCTGCAGCGAGCCTCCTCATCGCATAGACCGGAAGAAGCTCGGCAGCATAGTCTTCAGTTCGCCCGAAAAGTTGAAGACCCTGAATGGCATCGTGTGGCCGGAGATTGCCCTGTCAATGGAGGAGGAGATCACTCGAATCCAGTCGGCCACTCCGGCCTCCTCCTCCTCGCTACCCGTTGTCGTGATCGATGCGGCCCTCCTATTCGATGGGGGCTGGGACAAGCTGTGCGATGAGGTAGGTTCACTTCCTCCTCCTCCTCCACCACTGTAGGCGTGCCTCCTCTGCGAGGAAAGACGCTTTCTTCGCCTTGCGTGTATATTTTTATTACGACTACCATATTACTAGAAACAAGCCAGTAACTACTGTGGTTACAGTGGAAATCTGGCCGCTCCAACAGACTTTCATGCGCACCATGATGTTCCCTTTCCATTCATTTACCTTTATTTGTGATCAGAGCACATGAGCAACTCAAAAGTTTGCATCTACCTTTTACACTTTACGAAACTGAACTGAATATATTAAGGCTCTGAGGCCCTTCAATCGCCATCGTATCCGCCCCAGCTTAACGTACACCTTGTGGTCAAAGTAGAAAAGACAATGTCATATTCTAGCCCTCAGAATTCAAGAACTTTACCCTTTAAGGCCGATTGTTAAGGAATAGTCAGTACACAAGTGAAAATTGCTTACATAGAACGGCAGGCACTGAGTCTACTTTCTTCATAATAAGGATGCTGGGTTTATTGTTCGTGTTTTTGTTTGGCAGGAAGTCGTCTCTGCGTATAGCAATAGTGTAGGATTGGTTCCCTGCGGATCCTGGATTCGCGGAAAGACTTCTCTATCCCTCCTACCCCCCTGCCAGATTAATATTTTGGGACGTGTGGTTGTATGGGATGGCGGGAGCAAAGTTCGTCTTCTCGTAATGAAAGCCGCCTCGTATCACCTATGGCAGCTGTGTGTACCGCGGGGCTCGTCTCGTTCCTTACACTGATCACGCCCGATCTGACCTCAGATTCTTTTCCTAGCTGAGGCATTTTGTAAGGCAGTCGGCGTATCATACCTTAGACCCCTGCGCACTGGTAGCATTGTCGCTACTGGTCTTTGGCCACGTTTTTCGCCAGACTTGAGAGCCTGATAATTTCTCAACCACCTCTCACTGAATAACGTTCAAATACTCGCCACCTGTGGACGCGCCGGATAGCCAGCAGCATAGCTAGCGGGCAACTCGCCTTCCTGACGTTCTCGTTTCTGACAAGGGCCCTGCATACCTGCTTCATGGTGGGAAACGCGACCACTGATGCACCTATCAACGATCTATGCGATCGATCTTTCACAGATGTGGCCGTGTGATTCCCCACCGATCGTTCACTCACGCACCGCGTGTATAATTTTATCACAATTACCATATTACTAGAAACATGCCAGTAACAACTACAGTCACGATCGAAATCCAGCTGCCCCACGAGACTTTCATGCATACCCTGATGTTCCCGCCCTCCCTCCCACCTTCTCCATTTTTTAATCTTTATTTGTCATCAGAGCAGATGAGAAGCTCAAAGGCGTGCACCTACCCTTCGTCCCTTATAGAGCTCGACCGCGCATGTTAAGGTTTTAAGGGCCTTCAGTCGGCCATAGTATCCGTATGGTTAAACTAGGAAGGAATTTGTCATATTCTAGCCCTCAACAGCCCATAACCCTATCCTTCGAGGCCGGTCGTTAAAGAATCTTCAGCACGCAAATGAAAACTGCTTACTTAGAACGATGTTTGTACAGCACTACGCAAACAGCAAGAGCTCATTGTTCTTGTTGTTTTACCAGAAGGCGTCTCTGCTCCGCGCTCGGCGATAGTGTAAGGTTGAGTCCGAGGGCGAACGCCTCGACCCCCCCCTCCCGTTTAAGCTTCTGGGATAATCCCAGACGGTGGGCGTGAAGTCTTGTGAGATTTCAAGGACGAATTACACCGTCTCCTGATGTAGTGGGGGTTTTTGTCCCTTCGGTGCCCAACTAAACCTGAGTATATCAACTCTACGCTGTCCCTCTATACTGGTTGCTTAGACCCGAGAGTCCCCACCGAAAGCCGTGTCTCCCGCAACCATATTTTCTACCCGTTTTTCGCATATGTGGTCGCACGATTCCTTACTTCTTTTGAGGTTGTTGAAGCCTTCTTATCAGCCCACGTGTCTGCACCAACTCAAACTAGATCATATGGTCAGAGTGAAAAAGTTCTTTCCATGCTCTGTCTCTGAACAGTCCAGGGGCCTACTCCTGCAATCTAGTTGTTAAAGAATAGTTCTTCTTCAACTGTAACAAATGTTGACATAAAGGGTTAGTACTGGATGTATTTTCGACATCCTAATGACACTGTGGCAGCGTTAGGGCCCGCAGATAGCTTTTCTCCAACTCACGACAGCGTCTGAGTTTGCTGATAGAAGCGAACAGGCTAGTTCCAGGAAGCAGTTCAGAAGATGAAGATGCGATCACTGGAAGAAGACACTTATGGGCCTGACGTTTCCGATTCTCACTCGAACCCATCATCAGAGACAGTCGCAGATGAGGGTAATGGCGGCACAAGGAATGCAGTATTTATGGCACGTGGCTGCCGTGGGATCATATGCCTACTGTAATTAACAGCTCTCACAATCACCGCTGAGGTCGTTATGGATGCGATGGTGGCTTGTCAGTCCGCGTCCAAGTCATTAAGGGCCGCGATTTCGTCATCGGTGTTGGATGCTGGTGTGGCGATTGCTCGGCAAATTGGTTCACTGTCACTGGGATTATTGCTCGCCCGTGCCCTCCCCACGTGACTGATTCCCCTGCCCAGGGAAAATATCAGCACGGAATACGGTAACGGGAGGTCATTGCTGTGACCCCCGAGCAATGACCACCCGTTACCGTATTCCGTGCTGAGATTTTCCCTGGGCAGGGGAATCAGTTTTGGGAAAATGTCCCAAAGGCCTTATGCTACTTTTCAAAAAACAGCGTACAGTCCGGGTATATTTTGCGTTCCTCTCTTCACCGGGTGTTGGCAGATTGCGAAAAACCCTTCGGAACAGCAGTTCACTCGCGGCTCTTATCCACCCCACCGTTGAACTCTCCGTGTCTCCCGCAACCATATTTTCTACCCGTTTTTTGTATATGTGGTCGCGCGATGCCTTACTTCTGTTGATGTCTAACCCACGACAACGTCTGAGATGTCATACTAACCAGATTGATATGACACCTACTTCACTTGACGTGAACCTGAGGTTTACTGGCTGTATGCTAACGTCCCAACAGTACATGCGTTATTCAGCCATCGCTTGCATGACTGCCCCCCCCCCTCTCCTCCCAGGTTTGGGTGTCCTATGTTCCACGGGACACCTGCGAACGACGGCTGGCTGAACGACAGAAAATCGCCCTCGAGGAGGCCAAGAGTCGCCTGACCTCACAGTCGGCTGGTGTGAAGTCGGCGGTGGGTGACGGTCGAGTCGATTGGTGGACTGCCTGCCAGCGCGACTCCAACACCGGCCCAATCGCCCAATCCAATGTTGTCTTTTGCTCTGAATGGGAGGTGCCTTTTACGAGAAGCCAGGTGGAGCGAGCCTGGCAGGACTTACTGGTCCGAATTGATGGGCCCTCCGGCTAACCCATCTGCCTCACACCCATTGCTCACCTTTTCATCCGCGATTTCTGTGCCAAATTTGTACCTTTATTGTATTTTTCACCGTGAGTCTGCGGCTGACGATACTTGTGACTAACCGACTTTCACCCTGATCAGTTATCTCATTACATGGTCAATTTGATTTATTACTACCTGAACCACTCGCAATACCTGAATGATGGAAACAGAAATTAGTTGAGGTGAGGAGAGTAAGCTGACGGCGTCTAGCAACGCAAATCGCGCGGATTCGTGTTTTCTCAATTCCTTTGTTCAAGTTTTCTAATTTGAACAGAAGAGAACGCCCGCGGTATTTGAAGTGCACCATTCAGGATTATGGCGGAGTTTAATCTACAGAACTGCATACCAATTGCATTTTATTTGTTCAGGCAGCCGATTAGCTTTTTCCAGCGACCATTCCCGAGACTGACACAACTGGATATTCAGTGCTGCATTTGCGGCGACCGCACAGGATAATAATGATAAGGGTGGTCCGAGTTTGGGGTGATGGTAGCTCACCAGGTAGCGTATCAGCCAAAGTCAGTTGGATGGATGGATTCGAGTAGGAATCCGGAACGTCAGGCTAGTAAAGCTCTTGTCCCGGCGGTCGTGTCTCCTTCTTCAAAGTCAGTTTATCATTTTAAGCCAGCCCTCAAAGCCGCTGATATGACTATAGTATGGATGACACGCGAAAAGTGTTTGATAGCTGCAATAAGCCACTGGTGTCAACAGCGCGCGTATACTAAGTCAAAGCCGCGTAAGCGTGAAGTTAAATTACTTCAGCCTACTGAATTGAAATAATTAGTGGTGAGGAACCACCCTCAAACGCTAGTTTTTCGGCTCTCCCCCAGCCCCCATCTCGGCCACCCAACAATTTGTTTTCTGCCTTGACCGACTGGCGGACTTAACAGACGTGCGTTTTAGGAGGAAACTGATTAGTGGTCTGTACTCCTAAAATACGCGTGACGCCTACGGCGGCTGCAGCTGCAAGGCCGAGGTGCGTAGATCTTCGTTTGCAGATGAGCAAGACCAAGGTTGAATGATGTTTTCTCATTAGGGTGTAGTTTACGCCCCTATCGGGACGGCCTACAGGCGGACGCCTGCATTGTAGGCGTTTCGTGGGACGACTACGGGCCAACCCGTTAACTATGACGTCTGCGCACGACCGGCTAAGGACAGTTGAATATTCCCTGATCCGCCCAGCTCCGCAACACTTCGGCTCAAATGCCAGGCGCGCCTTTTAGGGGTAACATTTTCACTTATACCTCCCTTAGATGGCCATGAGTCTTGGTATTTAGGTTGTAGCCACGATTTCAGTTCTGTGTGCGGCGCTCTCTGGAAACGGACACTCATATAAGAAAGCGAGGGAGGTCGAACAATGCGACTCACATTCGCCCTTACTAGAAAATCCCGATGGCTATTAATGAAGAGCATCGCAACTCCACTGAATCTGTCGCCGCAAAATCAGAGCTCCACCCAATCTGCATTTTGAGGTCACCATGGCACATTATTCGAAATCGTAGTCAATAAGACAGTGCTGCAGACTCCGGTTTATTGTGCCAGTCGCTTATTCTGACCAACTTTCAATGGAGGTCTGCTTTTGCATATCTGACCCTCTAATAAAGACCAACATCCCGTTTATTTGGGCCGGTGGTTACCCCGTGGCTTGAATTCAGGAAGAAAGATCGCCGGAGATATTCCTGTGACCTTAATGAGGCCGTTAAATGGCGTCAGTCTTATGAAGTCTGGGGTAGGAAACGAGAGCTTGAAGTCTGACACCTATCGATGATTTGGTGTTCGCCGATTGGTCCAGGTCACCGTCAATCTTTCCGGTCACGCATTTGCGCCGACGTCCGTCGCTTGCCCACCGAATACTCGCCTCAGCGGCGACATGCGCGAGGATCAGTTCCTAGTGGGGCGCACTTGCGTCGCATCTACCGCACTCTCTCCTCTCCCACCCACATGTTTCCGACAGCAAGACGATCGGAGGTAGGCTCTGACATATAGTGAACGGAGTGTGCTCATATCAGCATAAACCACACGTCGTCACCACGTCAATAATTCAGCTTAACTGCGTAGCTAAGCAAGCGAACATCGTGCCGCATAACTTTCGTCGGCCACTGTCGGTTGACACTGGTAGGTCACCATACTACTTAAAGTGTTAGCAACCTTCCAAAGGTAATACTGTTATTTCAAGTTACTCAGGAATAAGTGCAAAATCGTAGTCAGGAAAAAGTCCCAAACGACTTGTGCTACCTTTCGAAAAGCGGCTTACAGTTAGGGTATATTTTGCGTTCCTGTCTTCACCGACTGTTGACCGATTGCGGAAAATCCTTCGGAACAGGGATTCACTCGCGGCTCATATCCATAAGCCGACAGTTCTGACTAGACCAGATAAGCTTCGCATGGATTTCTATGAAATCGCGTAAGGGAATCCTTTAATGTGTCCCTGTAGCGTCGTTTTGGGCCTCCCGATCGGCGAACACTGGTAGCGACATCACCATAGACGAGATGTTTCGGCAGTCGTGTATCTTCCATCTTCACGAGATGACCGCGCCATTTGCCACAGCATGGCGTAGATGTTGAGGATTCCGGTCCCTTCTAGAAATTCCTTGTCGGGGATCATGTTTTGATGTCTCAGCTTAATATTCTGTGAAGGCAGCTGAGATTGAGGAGGCCGAGCTTCCTGGCAGGGTTAAAGTAGACGGTCCAAGTCTCTGCCCCGTAGAGAAGTGTCGTCGGGACAACGACTTTGTACATCTTTAGTTTGGCATTCATTTGGAGGCCATGGCAATTCCATGCGGAGTCCTGCAGCCGATTGAAAGCTTGGTTAGCTTTGGAGATTCGGTGGAACACTTCGTCGTCGATCCTGATTCAGCGAGACATAGTGCTGTCGCGGTGGTGGAAATTGTCTACGGTCTCCAGTTCGGAGACTTTGGGGCAGATGCGAAGGACACTGTATTCAGAGGTCCAAGGCTATTGATATATGATCACCTCCGTGTCTTTATTGGTGGTCAGTCCGAAGTGGGCGCAGCCGAAGGCGAAGAGCTCCATGCTCCATTTCATCTTGTCCTCGGTAACGCTGCTGAGCGTGCAATCGTCAGCTAAGAGCAGATTGTGGGTAGTAGTTGTGGAGAGCCACGTCGAGGTCCGCATTCGCCGGCTGTTGAGAGGGTCCCCATCGATTATGTAGTCGACGCAGATCCCGGAGCGTTCGTCATGGTAGGTGTCCAATAGCATGGCAGAGAACATAAAACTGAAGAGAGTGGGCGCGAGCACGCAGCCCTGCTTCATTCGAATGCCGCGGAGATTTTGCTGTTGTCCGTGACGCGCTCCATCATCTCACTGTGGAACTGACGTACCATGTGCCTGAATCGATCGGGACAGCCTAATTTCTGTATGATTATCAACAGTCCTTCGCGATTCAACGTAACGTAGGACTTCGTCACATCCATGAAGGTGGTGTAGAGGTGAGTCCGCATCCCCAGGTATTTCTCTCGTAGCTGGGGCAGTTGAGCGTTGTCGCCGGAATCCAGATCAACTGAGTTTTGTTAAAAGAAAGGCTGTGGAAGAAGCTTCGCGAAAACGACAAAAACGCGGCCTTTAAAGAATCTAAAGTCCAAAGAAACAAAGTGAATTGCCAAATTTTTAACAGACGACGAGGCTTCTAGAGCAATTTTCTCCATCGAGCCGTTCAAAATCAAAAATTTCCCTACAGCTATTCCCGAAAAAGTACCCGTATCAGGAATCCGATTCCTGTCATGGGGCATGATGACGGTTTGGAAATATCGGACAGCACAAACAAAGCTGAGCATTTTTCTCAGTTCCTCCAATCTGTTTGCACCAGGGAAGCAGTTTTCAGTCGGCCTACTGCTGAGAGCATGCGTGATCAGATTGTTGAAAATATTGTTTGATGCGAAAAAACCATTTCCAAAGAATTAAAAAACTTGAAGGAAAGTAAATATTCCGGCCCGAACGAAATCACTTCAAAACTGCTCACTGAACTTCCCTGCAAGTTGGCCAAACCACTCTCTTTCTGTGCCAGAATTTGTTTGATACTGGAAGATGGACCACATTACACCTCTGTACAAAATCGTGCTCTTGCGATGGCCTACAAACTAGTCAGTCTGACATCAATCTGCTGCAAAGTTATGGAAAAGATCATTAAAAGGGAGTTGATGACTTATGTGGGAATCCACAACCTCTTGTCCAGTGCACAATACGGCTTTCATAGGGGAAGATCGCACGTAACAAACTTGCTGTGCACAATGCAAATCTGAACAAGAGCACTCGATGCAAAACACGCTGTGCATGCATACTACGTCGATTTCCGGGAGGCGTTCAACAGTGTTCCACACCAGCGTCTCCTTTACAAATTGAGAGTGATGGGCATTGGTCACAAACTTCTTAAATGGATCGAGAATTTCCCATCAGCCGTCCCAAGATTGTCTGCGTGTTGCAAGGGAAATTATGTTAGTGGCATAGAGATAGAGAGTGGAGTCCCACAGGGCTCCTTGCTCGGACCGACCATCTGAATCTTATTTATGAATGATTGTGTAGAGGAATTGAGCTGTGGTTGTGTCATATTCGCAGATGCTATTAAAATTTGAAAACTCATCCACAATGCTGCCGACGAGACCGACCTTCAAGAAAATCTTCATCTTCTAGACGAGTGGTCCCGTAGATGGCTCCTGTCCTTCATTTTGAATAAATACACCACATTGCGTCTAGGAAATCGAAATCAGATCCATAATTCGCGGCAGTATTACTCGAACATGATGCTACTCCGAGATGCAGAGACTCAGAAGAATTTCGAAGTTTGGATTGCGGACACCTTAAAGCCTTCTGCGCAATGCTGTAAGCCAGCTAAAGCCGCAACGCCAATGCTGTGCGCCATCAGGCGAGCATTCGAAGTTTTCGATTATGAAAGCATCTCCAACGTCTTCGGTACGTTTGTACGGCCGTAGTTGGAATATTCAATCCAGTCCTAGAGACCCTGGACGCAGCAGGATTGTAATCTACTCGAGAGGGTGCAGAGGCGAGCCACAAAACTAGTAAGAGGTCAGAGTACACTGCCTTATGAGACCACCCGCCTAAATAACCTTAAACTCTATCCTCTGAGTTGTAGACAGTAGCGGGGCGATTTGATATAAACTTTCCGTATAGTGCGTGGCTTGGGCTACGCCCTCAGGTGTGGCGACTCTTTTCAACTTGTCACGACAAAAAAACTCCGTGGACATCCTTTCAAACTACATGTTCCCAAAGGGAGATTGGATACGAGAAAGTACTTCTTTCTCCAACCGTGTCATGGAATCGTGGGATAACCTGTTCGAGGAGATTGTAAAGTCGCCGTCTGTGAAGACATTTAAATACCGTATGGACAGACATCTATTGAACCAGCAAGCGGACTATGTGACTTTGTAACTAGAAAAAAACAATGCCCCATGTGAATCGATGTTTGCATTCACTTGTTGCTTGAATCTCCACATGTTGTTTTAAATTTAAAGAACTTTTAGGTACAAATAGGGAGTTCAGAGGCATAAGCCTATTTTCCTCAAATACACTGACTGGCTGAACCGACTCAGCAGCTGGTCTGCCCATTGGCTCCTGGATTTTAACTTTGGTAAGTTCATTCAATCCAGTTCAGTTTATTTGAGGGAAAGTGGATGTAAACCTTCGGTCGGGACGGTCTTTGATGCCCCTCTTTGGCCTCTTCAGATGTATCTCCTAGGAAGAGCCGTTCGTTTGCTTTGGCCTTATACAGCATGGTTTCGTCCTCTCTTGGGTTTTTTGGTTTTCTCCCCGGCTATTTTTATCCCGTTTTTTTAACTATTCGCTTTTGGGCTGTCGTAATAAGTACAGGAAGCATTGCTGACGTACCCATGATGCGAGATCTTTTTGACCTACTTCCGGTTACGCGTCCAGTTGGTAGATTTTTGTCTCTAGCTTTGTCTAAACTGCACTGTAACTGAGGTTTCATCTTTGCAGTTTTTTCCTTAAGGTGGTTGACCTTGACAGCAAAAATGACATCCGTTGCGGCTTCTACCTGTGTTTGGTGCATTTATACAATCATGCCGACTTTATGATAGAGCCCGCCGTCGTCCTGTTGTGGTCGGGTGTTTAGCGCGGTCGACATGTAAATACGTGGTCGTTGGACAGATCCTGCACTCTACTTAGTTCTTGGGTGACGCCGCGCACTGCGACCATGCCGTGAAGTTATAGAAAATGACAAACCATAGGAAAAAAAGAAAACTTTGCCAGTACCAAATTTAGGCGAACTGTGCGTATGCTTCGGTTTTGTCGAAGTATTTCGAGAATGCGAGACCTGGTCGACGTTCTCAGCTAATACATTCTCCGTAAAATGACAAGTGTTCAAATCTATGCAACGCAGCAATCAGTGAGGAAATTTTTGACGCACGATTGAATGGGTGCTGTTTCAAAACTGCCTCAAGCCGTATGAGACAATATTTCGGATTACCAAGATATGTAGACAACATCACAGACCGAAGTTCTGGGCTGGGTATGTGGATGATACCTTCGTCGTTATCGACCGGGATCAACTGCTGACGTTCAAGGAGTGCAACGGCCAGCCATCATGACCGATATGGCGTCATTGCTCAAGACAGACCTCGGTGCATCAGGGTTATTCACGCCTTCGCAGCGAGCCGTTCCAGAGGCTCTGACCCGAAGTCACACGACCAAAAGCTCGGGCATACCTACGTCCGCGCAGCCGCAGCTGCCCATACGCCACTTGATCGCGCTACCCCCTGCAACCAGCATAACAAGCCACTGGGACATCCCCCCTCAGCAAATGCAAAACACACTGACTAGACATCACTTGAGCTTGGCCCACGAGCCTACAAAAGCGGCTGCCACCACCATCTCAGGGACTCTCAGGCCTGACTGGACGCAGTCAACACCAGCTCTGGCTTCGCCAGTGGCCACTGTCGCCTGAGAGGACAACTCCGGGTTCTGTGCACAATAAACCCCTCATTCAGGTGCCTTCCGCCCCTCTCCCTACAACCAGGGATCAGACCTGACGATAGTAGCGCCTGAGTACAGACATACTCAATCACCGCGCTTGGTCACAACAGGAGCATCTGAATGCGATCTTCCCGGACATTCAATTTACGATGGAGGAAGAAGAGAACAACCAGCTGCCCTTCCTGGATGTCCTCGTATTCCGGAAAGATTGTGGAGGTCGGAGGACCAAAGTGTCCAGGAAAGCGACAAATACGATGCAAGTACTGAAATTCAACCGCAACCACCCAATCAGCCACAAACGCAATTGTGTTAGGACACTCTATCGGAGTGTCGAAACGCACTGCAGTGAAATGGAAAACAAGGTTGTTGAATTACGCTATCTTTGACGGGTAGTGAGACCCAATGGTTACCCGCGCAAGTTTGTCAACTAGTGCATGCGAAAACGACACCAGAGACTAAATCCAACCGGCCCCAAATTTTGGCGGCCTCTTCCGTACGTGAATAACGTCTCGGAAGCCGTCAGTCGTCTTTTAACTCCATTTAGAGTATTGGTTACACACAGGCCAGAAGCAACCATTAGGCGCCAAGTCATTAGGCCAAAAGACCCGTTGACATGACAGGGCAATCAGCGTGAAATCGCACCTATGTAGGAGGCATAGGCTGACACGGTTATCGGAAGTGTGTGGGTTCTGACAGATTACTAAGCCACTAAATTAGAACGAACAAGCAAACTTAGGGATTCAGTCTTGTTTAACCTTTATTTGCTTACTCTAAACCAAAGAAGTACTAAATGGTGCGAAAAATGGGGTCAGTCAGTTTGGACACCGTTGGTCTGCTGGCAGTGGATGTCCTTACATTCTTCCCATCCCGAACCTGCCTCTATAGTCAATTACCACATAGTTTTGTATTTAGATCAAATGACCTATTCGTGCAAACCTCTTCCGATGGGCAAATCGCGACTCAACCATTTGGCTTTTCGGTTTCGAGCTGAAGAATGAGTATGACCTTGAGACCGGAATTTTAATTAGCTTGACTTTTTTCGCCTCACTCATATTTCGTGCAAATTGATGCAGGGGGGTAGTCAGCTGATGCCCCGCTGATGCATTTTGCCTTGTGTAACCTCTGAAGGCGTAGCTTGCTCACAGAGTAGAATTTAAAATGCAGTCTGCTGATAGAGGACAGTATGAAGTACTGAAGGATGATGACGTGTCAGTTACTCCAGGGCCCTCTGGCGTACTGCAGTCAAATACCCTACGACTCGACGAGACCCATAATCTGGATGCCTTCTTCTCAAATATCTACCAATACCACCAGTCGGGCGGCTTTGCTGTAAGGGCTTAAAGTTTTTTGTGGTTTTCGATTCGTTATGTGGAGGCGGTTTCTACTTTTTTCTTCCTTGCCAATATATGCAACCAGCGCGTTGGGTTGGTGTGCCACCAGTCTCGCCGGGACGGTCTGTTTTGGGAGATTAGTTGTTAACCACTTTAATTAATGGAATTCATTACAAAAGGCGTACTATCTGACGCAGATTGGCAATGCCGCGAACGAGGAAGTATATGACTTAAGTTTACCCTCCGTCGAAAGAATTACGACTAACCTGCGTAGTATGAAAAGGGAATTGATAATGTAACAGTGAAGGTCCACGTCCATCAAAATATTCTAAGAAGGTCATTTGTCGGACTGCTTTGTACTTTTTGGCTGCACTCAGCAACATTTGGAAGTAATAAGAGAGCATCGTGGACAGGCTGCATATGCCAGACATTTTCGAACTCCAGGCCCCCGAGCTATGTACTGAATTTATTAGCGCGTTTGCATCTGGCCTTACCTATGTCTACATCAGCAGTTTTCTGCCAGGTTATGTTTAACGACGGCTAACCTTGAGAGTGCGGGTTGGGACGTCATGAAACCTCAAAGGTAGCGGGCTGGTCAAATCTCACACTCCCTCAGCAACAAATGTAGTACTTGGCAGTCACTGATCAGTAGACTCGACGCTGTTTGTGCGGTTGGGTGGAGGAGCCGTCCGGAACAACTCGATCAAATTTCTAAAACGAGGCATGCGCATACATAGAGGGTTTTTGAAATAGGGGTACAGCTGTCGGCGAAGAATACCGCTGCTTTCGTTCGTCCCGTTCTCCTGAGCTTGCAGCACTCCGAACAGCGTCTTCTGACGATTTTTTTACCGCCACCAACAATATCAGAGTTCCACATACGTTGTTAGCTTGCTCAAACGACACCCCTACTCTATTATATTACTCGCGCAAACTTCCTGAAAAAACTTCCTCTCCCTCGTTCCTCACAGTCCATAAAGACGACACTAAACTTCTCCCAGAATGCGTGCTACATTGCGATCGGTCTCGCTCATTTGCACCTCATATGCTTATATGTCCTGACGGCTGTGTAAGTTTTGCACCAGGTCGCCAAATTCACAAATCTCTTGTATATTCTGAGATTTTTTGTCAAGTTAATTGTCTAGAATAGTTTCCGTTAGACCACAGAATGCGTGAGAAATCGTGTGCTTGATTTACAGACACCAGAAATGTCACTCCTTCACTGAAACACCAGAAATCTCGTTCCACTGATTTTGACATACAGTCCCATCTGATATAGTCTCGCGAACAATTCAGTGGCTTCCGGTTTCCCAAACACAGTTAGTCCTGTGCGCCTTCGACGAAGATGTACGACAACTTAGTCTAATTCCGACATTAAAGAGTGGAAATTTATGCTCTGTATATAACCACAGAGAAAGGCCTTTAAAGGCTGCTTGGAATTCCAATTCCGTCTCTGAAAATGTTTTGTAGTTTTAATTCCTGCTCGCTGCTGCACCTGCAAAAGCACACTACAACCCTTGTACGTCGGGTCATAAGGCACGCTAAGTTCCTCGTTTGTATGTTGCCAGCTGCATAGAGCTGAAGGCAAACATTAGCTGTGTTAGACGCTGTACGTGCATCAGTTTTCAATCCTGTTCGAGGTGTTTTATTCATGCCCATCAGCCTTTACTAACTAGCTTTTCATGTTTAGTTAATTTCCAAACGAAAATATGAGCAAGGACTCCTTACAAACTGCGGACGTAGGAAGTTCGCCTAGAGCCAAAGGCGTGCTGGTATGCCGCCTCATGCATATGAAAAGTAGTCGAGATTGTTCTTTAACGTGCTGGCTCTTCACGGTTGATTTCGGTGCCTTCTCCTGATCAGAGGAAGAACTTGTACACATTGTTCTCCACAACGTTGAGTTAACCCTCTAAGTCATTCGATGCTACACTTTGTTTATTATTAGGGCTTTTTTATGAAGGATTATATCTCCAGCGGCATCGTGAGTCCCTATGCCGGATAATGGCACTAGATCGTGTACCGCCAAAAATCATCGCCATGATCAAGGCCTACTACCGCCCTCACCACTGCGCGAGTTCTGGTTCATAACAATATTTCCCATCCGTTCGGTATTCGGTCTGGCGTTCGACGGGGTTGTATCCTGTCGCCCATCCTCTTCAACTACGCTGCTGACAGAATTCTCGGGAGGACCCTACATGAAGGTGACAGTGTTGAGTTTGCACCCGGACGCCGGCTGACTGACCTCGACTATGCGGATGACATCGCCCGGCCAGCTTCAAGTTTTGGTGATCTACAGTCTGTGGTGACACGGGTGAACGAGGTCGCTAAGTCGGTCGGTCTATCCATAGGCGTTGGGAAGACCAAAGTGCTTTCAAGCTGCACCCTTGACCAGGAGGAGGCGCCTCTCGAGATTGGTGGTTGTCAGCTTGAAGAAGTAGTCACTTTTAAATACATCGAGGCGAGGCTGCTGCCGAATGGGCAGAGTGAGGACGACATCGTCTCCCGAACTGGTGCTGCCCGCCGAGTTTTTTCAAGCCTTAGGAAATGCCAATGGATCCGACGTGACCTCTCCATCGCCACTAAGATTCGCGTGTACCGTGCATCTGTCCGGTCTGTCCTGTACGGCTGTGAATGCTGGGCTGTGCGCGTGGAGGACGAGCGAAAACTGGAGGTATTCGACTTGAGGTATTTACTTGAGGGCCATCCTTCGAGTGAAGTTAACTGACTTCGTCTCAAATGAGACAGTCCACGCTCGCTGCGAAAACATTGCAAGGATAACCCAGACCATCCAAGAAAGGCGACTGAGGTGTTTCGAGCATGTTCTTCGTCGTCCACCTCAGGAGCTCAGTCTTACTGCTGTCGATTCGGCACCGTTGCCCCATTGGAGGCGTCGAAGTGGGGGTCAACTCAAAACCTGTCTCGACACAGTTCGTCAGACATGGAGGCGATTCTTGGACCTTCGGTATTCGGTCTCCGTCGTTGGCGAAGGGAATGAGTTGAGCTGTCCAGATATGCTGCCGCGGATCGTCACGCGTGAAGAGGTACAGTTCGGGACATCATGGAGGCCGGCTAGATCAGACATGTTCGCAGACGTACTTAGTCAGCGCCTGATTACGTATAGACGCCATCAGAACCGCATATAACCCTTCTGAAAGTCCAGTCAACGACGTAGTTGAGCGATCTAGGCGACATTCTCTAGCCACAACCACGGTCTCAACGAATGCAGGTAGAATAAGCGACATTACACAACCCTTTTTGAGTTGTTAGTTTAATAACTGTCGGCTGGGTGAGTGTGATTTGGAAGTTTCACAGAATTGGAGCAATCGTTAGACGACACAGTGTCCAGTTCCTTTGCGCGCCACAGAACTGGACCCTGCTGTGGGGCAATAAAGCAAGCAGCTGTCAGTTGCCGATGACCATGGTGGAACTAAGAAGCGCGAGCCTGCATATTTGGTCGAAGCGTTGGCGTCAAACTCAAAACCTGACTGCTTTGTGTCTTATAGTAGACCCGCGAATCTTCAAGCTACTTAAAATTGGTATGCCACCGTCCTTTGCAGCGATGTCGACAAGACCTAATTCACTGCATTTCTCGCACTTCATCCTACTTCTCAAAGACTGATACACAGTGTCTGAGTCCGAGCTATCTCTCTGGTGGCAATGGCCCTTCACAACACTGGTTTCATCCTCTGTCAGCGTTCTGATTTTCCTCAGCCTCAGTGTTGTATCGGAGATTTCTTCGGTAGGCCGGATATCACAATAGTACGTAGGCTAGAGAACGAGAGAGATATCATTGAGTGCAGGCAGCCAACTTGACAAGTTTTCGAGAGCCGTCCACGAAAGCGCTACTTCCACCCAACTTTTCCTGCATTGTTGGTTGGTTTTGTCGTCATTGGACGGAAAACGTTATCGTTGCAGCATCCAACCCGTGTTATCTTGCATTAATTCCGTCACTGTGGTGCCTCTGAGCCTGTCAGCGAGCTGTCCCAGTTGCTTTTTTAACTGATGGCTTCATTGATGACCTGTTAGTGCCGATTTTTCCTCCTTTCTGACTGGTCGGAGCTTTGACTGTGTGGTTCTATCGTGACTTTGCGACATGCAGGCACGTGGCATGAGCCGTGTTAGGCGTGGAGGAGGCTCGAGATTTCAGGTGCATGAAGACAAAACCATGATCCGATCCGTCGGCATCTTATTGACAAACAGTCGACTGCGTTCAGTGGAACTCAACAGTCTTCGATTTGATAAGGGAGCCCAAAACGACTGACCCGGTAGCTGTTGGAAGAGACATCTGACCCAGTCTAGGACATTTGCTTTCGGGTGAAAAAGATATCGCTAGACCCTTCGGACATCTAAATAGCTTGTTAGGTGCTCTGATTGTGGCTTATTCTCGGTGTGGATTTTGCTGCGCTCGAATGAGTTAGTCGCTTTTTGGATGAATACCAAGGTCGAAGGTTCTGACGCACAGTGTAGACTTCTTGAGATGTCTACTCTAAGACCCTATGGCTGGCAGAAGCTGTCAGCCAGTTTTTCCCGCTTTACACAGTTTTGCTCATTTTCAATTGGCTTGTTAAAATTTCAGCCACAATTTCCACCCGAGTTCCAGCCTCATGTAGGAGATGTTGGAGGCAGGCTCTGTAGGGCGAAGGGATAGCCACTTTTATGCAACTTTCAGATCTCCGTTTCACAAACTAGTAGTTCGTTGACTTGGGTGCGCAGAATTGCCAATAGAAGCGAAGAGACGAGTCCCAGGAAGCAGTCTTGAAGAAGTCTTGTCCCAGCGATCGTGTCTCCTTCTTCAAGGTGCGCAGAATGCCGTCCAGCACCCAGTCATACACTTGCTTCACACTGAGTCATTTTAGCAGACGTGACCCTTTTGGTAGCGCCCACATTCTTGTTTATCAAGCTGCCATCGCCATCCACTTTCTGCACAAACGTAATTGTTCAGTGGTCTTTTCTTCCACATTCTGAAAATTTTTCCAGTTGTCTTATCAGTCTTCATAACTGCTCTCAGCCTTCGGAAATCTCGGAGGAGTACTACGTCTACAGTTTAATTCGCAGACTTGGGTCATCAAAGGTTCCGTTTTCAGTTTCCATTTACCGTTGTGCTAGGCAGACATTTCACCACTTTTTGATTTCATAGTCTGCTATTTTCAGTTCAAACTAACTACCGACTTCAGTCAAACTGGGCTAATTAGGTAGCTATCCTCCCTCATCGGTACGCGTTGAACATGCGATCATTGAAACGGTGGTTGTATTAACTTGTCAAACGTTCACACCGTCTTCTGATGAAAAACAAAATTAGATTGTCTGACACAGTTTGGTGCCGCTCGCGAACTCACATCTCAAGCCCGAGAGGCAGGGAGGGAGGGTGAGTTAACTCACTGTGAGCCACTGAACTCTCAAGCTTCATTGACTAGCGACCCTGTCAAGTCTAGTGCCTTCTTCACCTCCGTAACGCACTCGCCCCTCGTCTATATTCGCCACTCTCTCTCTCCCTCTCTCTCTGTGAAGCAAGCACGGACTAATGGGCGCCAGTCTGGGCCTTCTGAGGCTTCTGGCCGGTTGCGATAGAAATGGTTCGTCCCTGATTGCCACTGACATTTACTCTTTTCTCTTGTTTACGGAAAATTAAGTGGGAAGAGGAGCCGTACATGCACGCAACTTTTTTCTCTTTTGAAACAGCAAGCGAATGTTTACTAACTACGTGACCCCTAAAGTAGCCTCAATTAATCGGGCAGACTGGTTCCTTGAAGTTTCTATAGGCTTGAAATTCCCGCTGATGAGTTCTCCCCGCCAACTTACTTGTACTTGATACGGTTGCGATCATGCCTGATCTAGCCGACCTCGATGATGTCCCGAACTGTACTTCTCCACGCATGACGATCCGCGGCTGCAGATCTGGACACCTCAACCCATTCCCTTCGCCAACGACGTAGACCGAATACCGAAGGTCCAAGAAGCACCTCCATGTCTTGACGAACTGTGTCGAGCCAGGTTTTGAACTGACCCCCTCTTCGACGCCTCCAATGGGGCAACGGTGCCGGATCAAGGGCAGTAACACTAAGCTCCTGAGGTGGACGACGAAGAACATGCCCGAAACACCTCAGTCGTCTTTCTTGGTTGGCCTGAGTTATCGTGGCAATGTTGTCGCAGCGAGCGCGGGCTGTCTCATTTGAGACGAAGTCGGTGAACTTCACTCGAAGGATGGTCCTCAAGCAGTGGTGGTCAAATACCTCCAGTTTTTGGTCGTCTTCCACGCGCAAAGCCCAGCATTCACTACCGTAGAGAAGGACAGACCGGACAGATGCACGGTACACGCGAATCTTATTGGCGATGGCGAGGTCACGTCGGTTTCATAGGCATTTCCGAAGGCTTGAGAAAACCCAGCGGGCAGCATCAATTTGGGAGACAATGTCGTCCTTACTCTGTCCACTAGACAGCAGCCTCGCCCCGGGGTATTTAAAACTGTCTACTTCTTCAAGTTGACAGCCATCAATCCCGAGGGGTGCCTTCTCCTGGTCAGGGATGCAGCTTGAAAACACTTTGGTCTTCCTAGCGTCTATGGATAAACCGATCGATTAAGTGGCCTCGTTCACCCGCCAAACGATTTTCCTTCGACGCAGTTGTTGCGCCGCTGTTCTTCTGCTATTCTGTAACAGCTAGTTGCTTCAGGCGAGATTGCGCAACCCTGCAGGATTAAACGTGCTAACCAGTTAGGGTTGCACCATTTCCAGAAGCTGGCCTTGCCTATTCGCCAGTACTCTGCGCTCCATCGTTGTGTAGGCCAGGATTGTTGAATCACCACCTCGCATCGACATCGTGTCGTTAGACTCTGCTCGTCTGGTGCTATGCGCCCTCCCTCCCGCCCCGCTAATTCTTAGTACTGCGTGGATCTGTGTATCATGCCACCTGACTTTATCGCTTAAGGAAGTTTTTTCTGATGGCTGTGTTGAATCTGCGACCCTGTCAAGTCTATTACCTTCGTCTCCGTGACGCACTCGCCCCTCACCTTTATTCGCCACTTCCTCTGTGAAGCAAGCACAGGCAAGTGGACGCCAGTCTGGGCCTTCTGAGGCTTCTGGCCGGTTGCGATAGAAATGGTTCTTCCCTGGTTGCAGCTGACATTTACTCTTTCCTCTTGTTTACGGGAAATTAAGTGGGAAGAGGAGCCGTACATGCACGCAACTTTTTTTCCTTTTTTGTAACAGCAAGCGAACGTTTACTAACTACCTGACCCCTAAAGTAGCCTCAATTAATCGGGCAGACTGGTTCCTTGAAGTTTGTAGAGGCTTGAAATTTCCAGTGATGAGTTCTCCCTGCCAGACGATTTTTCTTCGATGTAGTTGTTGCATCGCTGTTTTTCTGCTATTGTCTAACAGCCAGCTGCTTCAGGCGAGATTGCGCAACCCTGCAGGATTGAACTGGTTAGGGTTGCACCACTCCCAAAGGCAGGCATCTGCAAGCCTTACCTATTCGCCTCTACTCTGTGCTCCAGCGTTGTGTAGGCTAGGATTGTTGAATCACCGCCTCGCATCGACATCGTGTCGCTAGACTCGGCTCGTCTGGTGGTGCTGCTCTCCCGCCCTGCTAATTCTTAGTACTGCGTGGATCCGTGTATCATGCCATCTGACTTCATTGCTTAAGGAAGTCCTTCTGATGGCTGTGTTGACTCTGCGACTCGGATTTTTTTTCTACTACAGTGCATTGTTGAACGAAAAGTGCGCAGCATACCCCAAATGACAGAAGGCCCTTACTGCTGTTATGCAGCTCTAGCGGCCATCCGCGCGTACACCGCCGTCACGGGAGATGTGTTTTTTTCTTCTTGCTAGTCTGACGAACGCACGCACAGGCCTCGTCGTTTGCTGACGCGTGACGAGGGTGAATTGCGTTGGAGGCGTAGTTTAGCGTAATCTTGCTCGACTGATTCGTTAATTTTATCCGGAATGTTTTTAATAGCTTGCTCGTTTACTCGGCTGCGTTCCTGATCTGCCTTGCGTAATCTTTGCCCCGAGGCAACTGGACTGAACTGTCGTCGTTCAGGTTACTGTGCTGGTTGTCGTCGAAAAAACTAGCCTGGGGAGACGCTTTCCCCTGTCTGCCTCCGATCTCGCCACTCTCCCCTCCCCCCTCCTCCCCCGGGCTTGGAGCATCTAACGATGCTTTTGCCTCACACTCCTTTTCGCTTCCCTGGAGCGTATGTAGACCAGATTTTTTAAGTTCTCTAGATGAATATTGATGCTCTCGAGTGGGTTTTTTCATGAGAACTTTACAAACTGAACCGAATACTTTGAAAGCACGTGTGTACGCTTTTATTTGTGTGAGGTCTTCCGCTGGCCGTGACCAAAATTTCCCCCTTTCTGAGTAGGAATGTCACCCGTGTATGTGAGATCCGGGTTGCCATCACCGGGATTTGGTGATTGTAATGAGAACCAGCTCGTGTGTGGCGCGCGTAGACGACCGTTCGGTTTTGTGCCTGCGCCCGCCTCCGGCTATCTTAACAGTGTCTTAAAATCTAAGTACGGTGGGCGAGCGAGGAGGGTATGCCGACTGTTGTGAAAATAGGTCGGCTTCCCACAGAATCTGGAATTTAATTGCTGTCGAAGGGAACTGTTGTGTAATTCGAAGGGAAAAGGAGGGTGCCGCCGTTTCTTAAAGGAAATTTACACAGTGCTGGGGACTTACCAATACAGTTGCACAAAAGGACGCTTGTTCGATTTTTTTGTTTAAAACTCTGCAACTACTTAAGCATCGGGTTATTTTGTAATACTAGTTCCCTGCCGGTATAAAAAAGTCGCCCACAGTATACGACAGAATTTTCGAGGCACTTAAATAGAGAGGACTGCTCATTTCTTTAATTTCGACTTAGTTTGGGCGTCGCTTCGTAATGGCTCTCAACTGAGAATCGTCCCATCTATTGATCGCATTCGCGACAATCACTTGCCTATTTTCGGTGCTTGGCAAGAGTATGGTATGTAAACCCCTCCTGAAAAGGCTATAGTTAAATAAAACCCTCTTGCTAACCATAGCCATGCTAGTAATGGGTAACCTTAGTCCATAACCCGTTAGCCCTTTAAGGAGAACTCAAACGTAACCTTTAACTCGATCCAGGCCTTAAGACCCCAACCCTAGCCTCAGCCCCAAATCTAAACCATAGCCCAAGCGTGGAAACCCTAGCCTTAGGAATACCCCAACCCCTAATGCTAACTCTGACCGTAGCCTTAACACTGAGCTTGAGCTGGATACGGGCAACTTTAACGATAATTAAGGTGAAAATCCGCGTCTCGCATAACCCCTTTCGAAACCTATTGTCAGGCAAACCGTTATGAACCACACCTACCTAGATAAGGGGGTTTACAGATCCTACCCTCGCCCAATACTTTTGTAGTCATTTTTCCCAAAGCGAAAGCTTTATGTGATTACTTCTTATTGAAAGCTAGTCTTTGAAGAAGCAATGGAAAAAGGAGCGGATAACTTTTCTGGGAGGGAGACGCTCTGCATGCGTACACGCCCGCTTTATCAGGTTTAAGCCAGTGCCCCCCGCCAAGAGAGTCACGTGGTATATGCACTGAACCGACATGAAGACCATATCGGATTTTGGCAGGCGCTATCGGAATGCGCAGCACAACAAATGCCAAAATTCTGGGATGCGGTGGCAGACCCAGTTACCAGTACACGTCGGGCACATTGAGACCCCTGCCGCCCCCCATTCCTTTTTGTTGGTTAAAATCCTGATCATTTGCTGTGTGGACCTGGGGGGTGTGGAGTGGATGACCGGGTTCGGGCTCGACCGTTCCATCCACCTGCACCCTCCCCCGCCTCCGGTCTTCTTGACACCGGACTCGGGCGGGGGAGGAGGAAGGAGTGCGGTTGATGCTGTGCAAGTCTACTACCACTGCAAATTAATTCACGCACAAGTCACTGTCCCTGCTCCATCTTTCTGTAAAGTATACGGTGAACGCCGTCGGCAACGACGGTCGAACTGTCAGGTTTAAGCCATGCCAATTGTAGGGTCTGGAGCGAAGGTCTTCTGTCCCTCAGCGCCTGACTGGAATAATTGACTGGCAGCCCGATTAACCGGAGCTGTTGTTGTCACTACGCAAACGCTTCATCCGTCGCCACGAAGGTCCTCGTGTACCGGTCAGGTGTTTGGCTGTGCGCGTGGAAGATGAGCGAAAACTGGCTTCGTTTTCCCACCGCTGACTGAGGACCATCCTTCGAGTGAAGTATGCCGACTTCGTCTCAAACTAGGCAGTCTGCACTGCCTGTGACAGCATAACGAGGATATATCAGGCCATCCAAGAAAGACGACAGAGATGGTTGGGTCACGTTCCTCGTTGTCCGCCTCATGAGCTTAGTGTTGCTGTTCTCGATCTGGCGCCGTTGTCTATCGGGAGACCTTGAAGAGGAGTTCAACTCGAAACTTGGCTCGCTAAGACCCATTGGTGATTCTTGTGCCAGCGATGCTCCGTCTCCGTTGCTGGAGGAGAGAATGACTTGAGCTCCACAGATCGGCTGCCGCTGACCACCATGCATGGAGAAGCCGGCTAGATGAGACATGATCACAACTGGGCCAAGTCGACCATAACAGCCGAACTGTGGTCGTCCAAATCTCCGATTGGGCCTAGCATCGGGCGACTTGGTGGACGAGCGGTTTCGTGTAGTACCTGAACAGTAATTTAAAAATCCTTATTCCCGCCCCCCCCCTTCCACCTAGAGACGCACTGACTGAAGGCCCAAGGGTGGTGAAACCTCATTAAACACGGATAACTTTTGCTATACGGCAGTACTGTCATGACTCATGAGCTTTTTTATAGATTTGCTGGTACGTTCCACTACCTGTCGTCGGCCAGCCTGACCGTCACAGGCAACTTGTTCACGAGGTCGATTCATCCGTGACTTGTGCATGTATATGTTTATATTGGGGTGAACTTGCGCAAGACAACCGTATGCGGACATGGGTGCAATTGCCGGCAAAGCGAAGTACTTTCTCTACGCATGGTCCTTAACCCACCTTCATTCAGTGGGCTTTCTGGCCTTACATAAGTACTGTGGGTAGCATATTTTGTAGAGCATTAGCCGAAATTCTGAAACGGGATTTCTGTGAGAAAGGATGGATTACTTAGGTGGGTTATCATGCATTACAATCCCGAGATGTTTCAGTCACACCCAGATGCCGTTTTCAAATGCACGTCCTTCCGGCCGCCCGGAAAAATTACATCCGCTAAAAAGTCTACTTTCGCAGTTTTTTCCACAGAATTTCGATATATTCTATAGAATGCATACACTTGAATATCCATTTTGCTCTTATTGTGCAGTTGATTTGGTCTTTCCATTTTCAATTCTAGGAAACGGTACCTTTCGCTTGTGGAAAGTTTTTGAAACCGTGCAATATCTGTTGAAATAGCGTGTTTTTTGTACGTATAAAATATAAAACTCAAGCAGGTGACCTATTTGATGAAACGTTGGCCGATAGTCTGAATACGGCTTCGAGTAGAAGGGATCACTTGAGCGAAGTTATAGCATTGTTTATCCTTCAGCATAACCTTAAGATATTTCAGTCACGCCAGGATGCTGGTCTTCAAATGCGCCTCCCTCCGGCTGTCTGCAAAAGACGCCACATATTACGAATTTATCCCAATTATAGGTGTTATGACAGATTTCAAATAATTCACTTTGACTCAACTGTGAAAAACTCGGTGCCTTGGTGGGATTCGAACCCACGACAGCAAGGGAGGGACTTTATTACAGCCAACGCTCTAATCATCTGAGCTACGAGGCCCCGCTGGGCGACGCGAGTTTAATCACATTTGGGTCAAGTTTACCCGACCAACTTATCTCATTTACTTTCGAATTAATTATATGTTCAAGTATACTTTATAGAAAACACACAAAATATCATTTCTCACACTCGTTTGGTAGCATATCACGTCTTCTTCAAATTTTGTATCCGAAAAAGAGGTATTTTTCGGTCTTAAACAGTTTTTGAATCCTCGCATAATTTTGAACCCGACCTGCCCTCTTTTACGGTTTCTAAACATCAAACTTCATACACCCGATAAGCAAAAAAATATTTATTCCTCTACACCTTTTAGAAGAATTTTGCGGTGTATTCTTGTCATAAAAATCTCACTATAAACGTGATTTGCCACCAAATAAGTGCAAGAAAGGATATTTTTTGCATGTTTTCTATAAAATATATTTGAATTCATAAGTGCACTGGAAACTAATGTAACAAATGCGTGCCACGTAAGTAGTCATTTTCTAGAAAGTGTAGTTTTGGCGGACGACCTTAACTAGGCGCATTTGAAAGCCAGTGTCCTCGCCTGACTGAAACGTCTTATGATTTTGCTGCACGACAATCAGTCTCACAATGCATTTCAACATTTTGGGTGGCATTTCAGAAGATAAGTCACTTTCTTTACGTCAATGTCAGCCGCACACTTCTAGGAGATCCATGTGACATCTTTTTTAAAACCGTGAGAATTGTGTGATTTTCTTCAAGTCAAAAATGCACAACTTGCAGTTTAGAATCTTGAAAAGTAACTGCAGCGGTAGGCCGGGTTCGAGATCATCCGGCAATTGGGAATTCTTAAAAACTGGAAGATACCATTTCTATGTGCAGGAAATTAAAAAAGGGGATGTAATTCACTACAAAATGAGTAGTACACAGAGGCTTTCTCAGTGTACGATTTCTATATTTGGATTTAAAAGAATCGAAATATGATTTAAAAAATCATACAACAGTAGGTGGGCTGCCTCATGAAATATGGACCGAAATTCCGGAATGCGTTTTCGTCTCGAACAGATTAATTAAGTAGCGTTGTAAAACTGATTATCACGAAGCATGATTCTATAATAATTCAGTTACCTCAGGATGCCGGCCTTCGAAAAAACTTCTTTCCGACTGCATGCAAGAACTACACTCTGAGAAATGACTACTTAAGTAGCATGCATTTTTCTCATTGATTTTCGATGCCCTTAAAAAATTCAATTATATTTCTTGGAAAACATGCGTAGAAATATTCACTCCATTACTCATTTGGTAGAGAATTATGTCTTCTTCTAATTTTGTGCTCGAAGGAAAAGTATTATTCGGTTTTTAAAAACTTTTCTAATTCCCGAATAATTTTGAACCCGCTCTGCGGTCACACTTGCATTCAGGGTTTCCAAACTACAAGCCATATATTTTGTGCGTACGGAAAACCACACTTTCTCTACGATATTAAGTAGAGACCATATGGGGTTCATAAAATTTAGCATTGGATTTGATCCGTATCGTTAAATTTACAAGCCACATTGGTAAATGCAGAGCTATAGCGTTTTATGAATGGCCATTTTCGGTATTAAAAAGTCTCACAATTAGAAACTTTTTTAAAACCGAATTATGTCCCTCCTTCGAGTTTAAAATTGAAAGAAGACGTAATTTTCTACCGAATGAGCGAAAGGATGAATATTTTATACATGTTTTCCGTAAACTATAATTGAACTTTTGCGGGCATCGAAAGTCAAAGAGAAAACTGCATACTACTTAAGTAGTCATTTTTACAGAGTTTAGTTTTTGTATGCAGCCGGAAGGAAGTTCGTTCGAAAGCCGGCATCCTGAGGAAACTGAATTATTATGGAATTATACTGTAGAATGATTAGTTTTACAACCCGACTTAATCTTTTCGAAACGAAAACGCATTTCAGAATTTCAGTTGACATTTCATGAGTTAGCCCACCCACTGTACACAAGTACTCATTTTTAGCGGCTGTAAGTTTTGAGATCGTCTGGAAAAAAGTACATTCTAGCGAACCTGAAATGCCTTGTTGCTTATGCTGCGTGAAACTGACTATTACAACCCAACCTAAGTAAACCCTTCTAACCAAAATCACATCTCGGAATTTCGGCCAACATTCCAAGATATATGTCAACTATTGTACTACGGAATACTGATTAGTTCGAGATCGTTTGTTTTGTGAAGAAATACTGGATTCCCACTCGAATCCTTCATCAGGGATAGGGCCAGACAAGCGTAGTGGATTTCCCAGGTGCTACAGTATTTATAGGATGTAGTCGCTAGGCCGCTACATGCCTATTACAGTTGGCGGCTCCCGAGTGCATCGCGGCTCGACTGGCCAGGTGTTGAAGTATGCATACATTAATGAAGTCCACGAGCCAAGCCGATCGAAGATATGATTAGACGCAGGACTGACTTGGTGCAAGGTCACTGTCTTGCGCGGTAGCAGCCGTGGTGGTGGGTGTGATGTGAATGAACTGTCGTCATCTCGGTCCTCACAACTGTCTGGACCCCTAGACCTGTTCGATTTTTGGCCCACTGAAGAATTGCTCTGTTTTCCTCCCTACGCTTTAGGTGGTTTTCACCTGTTGCGTCCTCACGGCGCTCAAGTTTGCCTTCTTATTCTTCTGCATCATCGAACTGACGGTGTGTATGAAATGGGACAAGTTGATGAATAGCAGTGCCGTCATCAGCGACTGGAACGATGTCATCTCGCCGCCGGCTGTCTGTTGGGCCAGGTTGCCACCACTGGCAGCTATCTGTCTCGCGGTTGCAGTCATCGTCTTCGCTGCGCACCTCGTTCGCTCCAGTATTTTCATGATGCAGGTCTGGGGAGTTCGCCGATTCTGTAGCATGGTCCTCGACCTGCCCACCGGTGATGCTGAGCTGGCCGATATCACCTGGTCCGAAGTCCTGCATCGCCTATTGTCCTGTCAGGACCAGATGCGACTCTCGCCCTCCAAGCCCCTGCTCGATGAGCTGGACATTTACAACAGAATTTTGCGCCGAACAAACTATCTCATCGGTATGATCAATCGGGAGGCGATTCCCTTCCGATTTCGAGTACCGAAGTGTCTCTTTCCCAACCACCACTACATCTACCTGCCGGACTTCTATCTCCTCAACCTCAACTACCTGTTGTTTTGGGGCCCAAAATGCCCCTTCGTCACCTATTGGAAACTGCGGCCTGAGTACAAGTGGCTTACAAAGCGGCAGGAGTTGGCAGACGAGTTGGCCACACAGTCGCGCCTAGCGGGCCTTGTTGGTCTTTGTTTGAGTCCGTTTGTCCTTCTGGTCCAGCTCCTGCTCTTCATGTGTTCCAACTCGAAACGCCTGCGTTACGAGCCCGCCTCCCTGTTTGGTCGTCGGTGGTCTAACTACGCCCACTACTACCTACGTCACTTCAACGAACTGCATCATGAATTTGTGGTGCGTCTGAATCAGGCCTACTTGCCGGCACAGCAGTACCTGGACTGTTTCCCCTCGCGTCTGCTCAATGTGATTGCAGACAACGTGGTCTTCTGCATCGGCGGTGTCTCCCTGCTCCTCTTCGCTGCCAGTCTTGTTCGCGAACAGTTGCTCCATCTGCCGGGTTTCCTGGCTGTGCTGGCTATCGGCGGTCTGCTGACAAAGGTCTGTGCCAGCCTCCTGCCAGACGAACAGGCGGTGCACTTCCCGCGCGCCAGACTGATTGAGACGCTGTCACGCATCCACTACATGCCCGATCACTGGAAGGAGCATGCGCACACCCACCAGGTGCGCTATGAGTTCTCGGAACTGTTTCAACTGCGGATTGTGGGCGTTCTGGAGGAACTGGTCTCACCCATCCTCACTCCTCTCATCCTACTCTTTTATCTGCCCAACCACTGTTTGGAGATAGTTGATTTTCTGCGCAACTTTACTGTCGAAATTGCCGGTGTGGGAGACATCTGCAGCTTCGCACAGTTGGACATCCAACGCCACGGTCATCCAGACTGGAGTCCCCACTTCGACGACGACGATGCTGATGATGATGGCTCACCGCGTCACCACAAACAACAGGCCTATGGCAGTCCGGCCCTCTCCCCGCAGCAGCCCTCTCCACCCTCTTCGCACGATGATGAAGACTCCTATCGGCATATGCCCTCTTTTGGAGGCAAAATTGAGCTGAGTTTGATGCACTTTCACATCACTAATCCGGGCTGGAACCTGCCTCCTGATAGTCGCGCCTACCTGGCGGCTGTTCGCAAGCAGGCCCTCAATGACATCCAGCGCTACCAACAGGAACAGGTGGATCTGATGCTGGGCATGCAGTCCTCTGTGGAGCACCTACAAACCTCCCTAGAGCGTCCCTTGGCCACCCAAGCAGTTTCCCCACAGACCCTCAGCTTGTACCACTCACTATATACAGCAACGCCAGTCGCCGGTGGGCAGGGTAAATTCCCTGAGACCGGACCCGTCTACTCCTCGGATTTTTCCACTCATGTCAAGAATGTCGCTTACCTCTCTGGTCCTGCCGTTATGTCTGCCGAGACACTGGGTGTCAGGGGTGCCCTTGTAGAGTCCATGTATGGCGGTGTGGAAGCGCCACCTTCGGCGGCCTCATCGCCTGGTCAGCAGTCGCCTTCAAGACCGGCCGCTCCGAAAACCGTCTCGCAGGGTGACCGACAGCACAAGGGTGTCAAACCTTCGGGCTCGTCGAAGGCCACAGACGGGCGTCTGCCTGAGGCGCCTCAGCCCGTCACTGCTACCGGCCCGACATCCCACATGTCCTCGAGCGTTCTTAACAGTCCGCGTCTCCTCTTCCCATTTCACGCTGGCGGCGTGACTCCATCGGCCAGCCTGATGGGTGCCTCTGGTCTCTACAGTGCTGCTGCCCTTCAGTTGCCCTATCAACCCTACACTTCGCAAATGGAGGACAGAACCTTCCTCAACAGCACCCTACTGAGTCCAAGCTTTGGCACTAGCATCTGCCTGCACCCCGGCGCCACCCGAGGTTCAGCCACCGGAATGACTGAACTGACTGCAGATATGGACGCCAGCTCGCTCTACATCCACGAATTGCACCAGCGTCGTCGTCAGCAGAAACTAGTCCAAACGCCCTCCCCGTCCAGTTTTGCCGCAAGCGTCGCTTCACAGTCCTACCTACGTCCCCTGCGACACATTGGTGGACCTCACCGCGGAGACGACAACCATGCGACCGGCGGTGCTTCCTCCGCCTCGAGGAACCAGGGCTGGGAGCCGGCAGCTGTGAGGAATCTGGACGCACCTGATTTGCGCTACCAGCAGCCCGGGGGCAGCTCCGCTCGTGCCAGTCATTACATTGGCCCGGCGGGTCGAGGTCGTTCCCTCTTCCACGCCTCCGTGGTCTCACGTCCTGGCGCAGACCCCAGACGCCAGTTTGAGGAGGTCGCCGAAGACCCAGAGGAGGATGCTGATGCAGTACAGCATCATCAGTCGAGGCAGCGTCCCGGTCCCACCCCAACACCACCGCTAGTCCCACCCTCCTCAACAAGCGGAGAGACGACAGCACGCGGACTGCCGCAAGTAGCTCCGCCCCCACCGCTGACCTTCGAGATTCCTGAAGCCGGGGATGACGTCCCCATTTGGCCCGACCTCCCGCCCCCAACCTGTTAACATCTTCGCCTCAACTCTCTCTCTCTATCTACTTTCTTACCTTTCACAACGCTCATGCCTGTAGCCGTACTGTCCTCATAGGGGAGTTTGAGTCGAAGCAAGCGGCAGGTTGTTCTTCTGTTCATTCTCCCTCCCTCCCGACCTGCTCACATGATTACCTAGCAATGACCTGACGTTTGGCACGCAAGCAACTTGACATTCATCTTTTTTGTCTCACTCTTCATCCTTTTTTGCTATATTAATATCTTGTGTAAGACGTATCAATATCTTGAATATCTCGCATGCTGCACCATTTTCAGATTTTGTATGATCTTGTTTGTATCGCCACCGCCTTCATTGGAGGATGACCGAGGACACAGTTTTACGGGTGCGGGGATGGCTGGCGACTTGCAGAAGTACATTGCGTGACCGATCTCATGAAATGTTGGCCGAACTTCTGAAATGCGTTTTCGATTAGGAAGGATGCGGCGTAATCCTATAGTATTTCGAACTCGCCAGGATTTCGGCTTTTGAATGCACTCCTTTTCGGCCTCCCGCAGAAACCGCACTCGGTAAAAATGGACTATTTAAGTAGCATGCGTGTTTCACATTTATTTTCCATGGTCTTATAAATTCAAATATATTTTATAGAAGACATGAACAAAATATACTTTCTTTTACTCGTTTGGTAGAAAATCGCATTGTATTTATACTTTGCACCCGAAGAAAGTGTATATTTAGTTTTTCACTTTGACCCAACTGTGAAAAACTCGGTGCCTCGGTGGGATTCGAACCCACGACAACAAGGAGAGGCTTTCGTAAAGCCAACGCTCTAGCCACCTGATCTACGTGGCCCCACCAGACGACGAGATGTTTAATCACATTTGGGTCAAGCTTACCCGCCCAACCTACTGCAACGTCTGGAATCAACCAAATCTGATAGAGTAAGCTGACTGCCCAAGCAGGATTTCCTAAGTGATACATCTAGAATCCAGCAGACTCGCTCGTTTTGGTATATTTCAAATAACTAATTAATTATTTGAAATCTGCCAAAACACCTCCGAATATTTGGGTTTTTAAAAGTTTCCCAATTCCCGAATAACTTTGAGCCTGATCAGCCGTTGCACTAGCGTCTAGCGATTCCAGCCTACAAGGTGTATGCTTTCCGCGTAATGAAAAGCATGCATTCCTCTATGCCTTTAAGAAGATTTTATATAGAGTTCATAAACGTTAGCAGTGGATGCGGACTATGTTGTACATTTCATGAGGAGCACTGACAAACGGACGTGCGCGATGCTGTATGTATGGACATCGCATGGTCTTAAAAACCTCACAATTAAAAACTTTGAAACCGAAAGATAACCTTTCTTAGGGCCCAAAATATGAAGACAATGGGATTTTTTTTACCAAACTAGTAAAAGAAAGCATATTTTTGTGTATGTTTTCTATAATACATACTTTAACTTATATGATCATCGAAAATCAATGCGAAAAGTGCATGCTACTTCAGTAGTCATGTTTCACCGAGCGTGGTTTCTGCGGGAGGTCGAAAAGAAGTGCATTTAAAAGCCGACTTCCTGGCAAGTACGAAATACTATAGGATTATACCGCATGATAATCAGTATTGCAACCCCACCTAAGTAATCCTTCCTGATCGAAAACGCATTTCAGAACTTCGACCAACATTTCATGAGACCGGTCACTCGCTGTACCACGGACTATGCATTATTTATTGCGATGCATCTTTTCCACCAGCTGGTGAGCGAGGGTACCCCAACCCCCTTCTCCGCCGCGATAGCTCCTACTTTTCTGTCAAGTCAGAAAGCGTCATCGTTTGATCATCTTGCTCCTCCAACCGGAATCCATGTGCACCCGCGTTAAAGCCTGCTCTCGGTCCAGTCATCAGTTTCTGCGGCACAGTGACTGAGCTGCCCCAGTATACACGGCATCTGAAAGTGGACCGCTCCGTGCCATCCAATCGCCTGTTTGGCCCGTAGACAGTAATTTTCCATGCAGTATGTTATTACCGACAAAGACAAGGGAGACTGGAATGGCCATTTCCGGCTTATTAGCCGTTGTCAGCCAGTCATGCCCAACCCCGAAGTGTGGAACACCCGAGGCTCGACCTCGCGACCTGTTAGAAGTCCACGCCTCTAACCACTGAGCCACCGGCCCGTTGTCCTGTCGATTTCGATCGGGAACACACAATGGTAGGGGACGCTCACCGATCGTTCTTACGGAACTCACTCGTTCTGTTGTGCCTTAAGTACTCTATCTCTCTCGAGCCCAACCATCAGCCGCACAGCGGCGCATGATATAAAAGCAGAATGGCATTACCGACAAAGACAAGGGAGACTGGAATGGCCATTTCCGGCTTATTAGGCGTTGTCAGCCAGTCATACCCAACCCCGAAGTGTGGAACACCCGAGGCACGAACTCGCGACTTGTTAGTTAGAAGTCCACGCCTCTAGCCACTGGGTCGGCAGTACCATTCCGCCTATATCACGCGCTGCCGTGCGGCTGCTGGTTGGGCTCGAGAGAGAGCCCGTAAGGCACAACGGAACGAGTAAGTTCCATAAGAACGATCGGTGACCGCCCCCTACCATAGTAATTTTCCAGTTGGTGTCTCCCTCCTGAGCCTTGAAGACCGTCGAGCCCGCGTCACGACGCTCTTTTGCTACCTCAGTAGTCGTAGACTCTACCCGCATTAGTTTTCGGAACCACCGGTACGTCGAATGCCAAAACCATCCTCGGGTTTTCAGTGAGTTGGGGCCACGTTTCGCCAGTTACGGGACCGTACATTTTGCCTTCCTCTGTCTTCTACTCAATCTGACATCGAGGGCACACCCCCTAACGGTCAAGGGAACATGCTGCGTGCACAAATTGCCCTCCCCCGCAGCAGTCTGTCTACTTCCCCATCACCAGCTGGTGGAAAGGCTCAGACGGTCGACTGGTGCAAGAAGAGACGCTGAGGCCGACGGTAGGGAATCCATCCTCACGCCACATCAGTGCACTCTTCACCGTAAAAGGTCTGACGCACCCAGACCTATCACGACACGTAGTCAGTAGTGGCCTGGAAGGCATCATGGTGTATAGAGGGGGCTGACTGCAGAACTGAGAGCCACGCATGGAGGTAAAAGCATGAGTTACAGGCGTATGTATAAGGGAAGAAGGAGGAGACTAGGAGAGCACCTGAATAGTTCGTTGAGAAAATTTAAGTGTTCACCGAATCGAGGTGATTGTTTGGCTGACGTTTCGAAGAGCTTGGTCGACTCTCCATTATCAAAGCGTCTAGTGCGAAAATCGACCAGAATTTCGAATAGACGGCCGAATTAATTGGCCATGGGCTGATCGGTTTTTTTCTTCCTTCGCTGCTTCGGCCCTCTGACCATCGCTTATGAATGTTGGTGGCCTCCTGTGTTGTGTGTCGTCACCTCAATTGGGGTTAGTTGTGCTTGTCGACGGGCCGTGTTTGCTCGGTATTCTTAAGCTCTGTGTGACCGCCATATCCCTCGTCATGGCGTATGTAGTGACGTAGGACTTTATATGCCGCAGTAAGGCCCGGGTGCCTGTTAGTGGAGTTGGCTTCAGCGTACCAAGCCTCAAGTGTGAGACGTTCTATCCTTGAGATGCCCAGGCCTAAGATGGCTGCTACTTGAAAGTCAGAACCATCGCCAGTTTCTCCGATGGGAATCGCAAGCTGTGAGTCTGTATCTGGTCCCCGAGTTGCCATTTTGTGCTCATGTTGGCGAGTCTGAAATTTCCGTCCGGTCTCTCCAACGTAGTTGCAGTCTCTATTGTTACAACGTATTTGATTTTGCAGCCTCTAAGGCCTCAACCCGTGGTCAGTGCTCGTCAATGTGTGACTTACTGGACTATCTGGAGGAGAGGCTACCAACTTCTGGTCTCATTGCCTTCGTCTATCTAGTTCTGCTGAATTGTAAAACGTCATTTTTGACCGAAATCATACCTGTATCATCTACCTCGTGAGTGTACCCGAACCCTACGGTCGTGAAGGCAGTGTTCGAGTAGCAGGAAAGGAGCATAGACACCAGCAGGAGGGGTCTTTCTGTACAGAACCCCGAGTCACTGTTTCAGGCAGCGGCGGCCGCTGGCGAGGTCAGGGCATGTATTGACAATGTTAAGTAATGTGTGAGTGAGACGGTGGTGTCAACTGCTTCCAGAAGTTTTGGGTGCAAACCCTAATGTCTTACGTCCAAGTGCTGTTGCGTTATAGCCGAGGAGTGACGGTCTAAAAGCATCAGCAAGCCATGGCCCTCGCAGCCTGGTATGCGCTGGCAGTTCACTGACAACTGCTTTCCTGCTGGCGGATGCACTTGCACTCCCGCTGAGTATAGGAGTGGTGGGCGTGGCTGCGCAGTCATCGTCGTCGTACTTCTGACCCCTATTGGCGTGTTGTTGTTGGTGGTGGTGAAAAATCCTGGTCAAGTGTATGTTGTAGACCAGAGGGTGTGATGGCATGCCCAGGTTGGGGTTCGGCCGTGCCAGCCATCTGCGCCTTCCCCCCCCCCTCCGGTCTTCTTGACTCTGTCTTGACACCGGGTCCAAGTGGGGAGCGGGGCGGAGGAAGTGCGGCAGATGCTGTGCAAGTCTATTGTCACTATAAACTAATGCGCGCTCAAGTCACCGCGCCTGCTGCACCTTGGTTTGCAGCACACGGTGGACATCGTCGGGGTCGGCGGTCGAACTGTCATGCACTCGATCAGACTGCAAAGTCAACTCGTTTGAAACCGCCCATTGTGGATGGGGGGTGAGTGACCGTGACGCAGCAGAGCGTTGAAGAAAGACGCCTGGCACCATACTGACGGCTGTCGGCTACACACCGTAAAACCACGCACAGAAATCTTGGGGGGAGGGTGGACCTTGATGTTTTAAAATCCTCGTAGTTGCAAGAGAGAGCAGGTGAAGCAGGCGTCTGTACCCACGGTTAAGTGAAGGAGTTTTACGTTGAGATGCTCAAAATTGTCAACAAAGTATTCAAGTAGCCTGGCCTGGGGGCG